AATTAAAGTGATCAATTGCCAAATGACAGAACTATCTTTATACTTTGAGCTGGTATCAGACAGATCCCAATCCAACTGCCCCAAGCATGAGGGGAGGCCCCTTTTTCCCATCTCTCCCTTCAAGGCTCCCAGGACATAATCTCAGGCCACACTCTGGCCTGCTCCTGTGTGGCCCCCTAAGCCTCCCACAGTGCCCTGTGGAATGCATGGTTTGTCCTGGACAGGACGTCCTGGCCTTCAATTTTTTCAGCCAAGTCTCTCCCTGCCTGGTGCTAAGTGAAATCTGAATATCCCCTGAAGAAACCGCTTCTCTGTAGCCCCGTCCAGTGGTGGCAACGTTGCCATCCCCCTCCCCATCCCACATCGGTACTGCTGGGTCTGGAGATGGAATCCGTTCCTCCTTGCTGCTGTTTCAACCCCTGTTCCCCCTTTGTCCTTCTGACCCTCTACAAGCCTTGGAGACCTGAACCACCCTGTCCTGCTCCATTTGCTATCTGCCCTTTTCCATACTACAGACATCTCTCAGTGTCTACAGGGATTGCTATCAGGACACTATGCCCACATCTGTGGATGCTCCAGGCCCTTGTATGCAACGGCACACTACTTGCATAGTACACACATGCTCTCATGTACTTTAAATCATGTCTACGTTACTTCTAATAGCTAAAACAATGGGAATGCTGTGGAAATAGTTGTTCCGCAGTACTGCTTAGGAAATACTGGTGTATTCATTCAATTCTTCAAATATTTTTTTAATTTGAAAGGCAGGAAGAAAGAGTTGGGGGGGATGGCAGAGAATGGAGTCGGGCCAATCCAAAGCAGGAGCCAGGAGCTTCTGCGTCTCCCACACGGGTAAGGAGCCCAAGCACTTGGGCCATCTCCAATGCTTTCCTAGGCCATTAGCAGAGAGCTGGATCAGAAGTGGAGCAGCTAGGACTCAAGCCAGCGCTGCAAGCAGAGGCTTAACCTACACCACAGTGCTGGCCCCTGAGTGGTCAATTCTGCACATGTTCAGTACAGTTTTTCCTCCTTTCAATCCACAATTGGTTGAATCTGCAGGCGCAGAACCCATGGATAGGGAGGGATAACTGTATTTTTTTTTTCCCCCACAGGCAGAGTGGACAGTGGAGACAGAAAGGTCTTCCTTTTCCGTTGGTTCACCCTCCAATGGCCGCCGCGGCCGGCGCACGGCGCTGATCTGAAGCCAGGAGCCAGGTGCTTCTCCTGGTCTCCCATGTGGGTGCAGGGCCCAAGCACTTGGGCCATCCTCCACTGCACTTCTGGGCCACAGCAGAGAGCTAGACCAGAAGAGAAGCAACCGAGACAGAATCCAGTGCCCCGCCTGGGACTAGAACCCGGTGTGCCAGTGCCACAGGCGGATTAGCCTACTGAGCTGCAGCACTGGCCGATAACTGTATTCTAACTTTGCTTGAAGATGGTAGCTCCTGGCTTGCTGTGTATGTCAGGGCTTTTCGTGCCATTAGGATGGCTCTGCCTCTCACAAAGACGGTACCTCCACTGTCCTGGCCTCTTGGTTCCTCTTTTCACTTTCCATGGGCTTCTCCCCGAAGTTGGGCCATGTATTTTCCTTGTGAAACTTCAGCTCTTGGAAGGTCTTCCTTTGATATCCAGGGAGCCACACTCTGGCTTTCCTACTGCCCCCTTTCCTCCCCAGCGTTACCCTATATGATGGCATTAAATGATCCACGCATTCCTAATTCCCAAGCATTTCTGCCTCGGTCCTTCCTGGTAAACTGTCTCTACTGGGAAATCTGACAGGAATCTCACACTTAACATACCCAATTCAATTCATTTACCCTCTTTAGATTCTTTCTTTCCAAGTGTACCCCATTAACAGCAAAATTCATTAGCTCAGGCAACATAACTTGGGAATCATCTTTTGACTCCTGTTTCTACCCTATATCCAATCCATCAACACATTGCTGGCTCCATCTTTGAAATGTAACAATAACCCAAGTACTTTTGAACACCTCCACAGTTAGTGACCCAGATCGAATTCTATGGAGACTGTAGATTAGAACTTTCTGAACATCAGTTGTCATTCTGTGCACTTCACAGTTCTATTAAACACCCAGACCACGGGAGGTGCTGTGGTGCAGCAAGTTAAAGCCCCAGGCTGCAGAGAAGAAATCCATATGGGTGCAGGTTCAAGTCCCGGCTGCTCCAGCACCCTGCTAATGTGCCTGGCAAAGCAGTGGAAGATGACCCAAGTCCTTGGGTCCCTGCAACCATGTGGAAGATCGGAAAGAAGCTTCTGGCTCCTGGGATTGGCTCAGCTCTGTCTGTTGCAGCCACTTGGGGAGTGAACCAGCAGATGGAAGACCTCTCTCTGTAACTCTTGTCTTTCAAAAACAAAAACAAAAAACAAGGCCACATCTCGCCTGAAACCTTCCAGTAGCTTCCTATTATTGTCAGTGCAGTCCTCACTGGAGTTCACAAAGTCACATAAGATCTGGTGCCTGTCACCCCCATCTCATGGTCTTGTCTATTTGGTGCCATGTTGTGCTTTTGTGGATTTCTGTTTGAAGTGGCCCCAGGCACAGCCCTGAACGTGCTCAAGTGTTATGTAGCATTCTTAAGCATAAGGCAGCTGTGATGTGCCTTACAGAGAGTATCCCTGTTAAACTTCATTCAGGCCTGTTACAGTCCTGCCAGCCGTGAGTTCAATGGTAACGTAATGAATCAGCACTATACATTAACTAAGGTTATCATCAGATAGAACCCCAGAAAAGCTGGTTGACGAAACTGCTGTGGCCAGATGCTTGCAGGAGTCTCACACTGTTTAGTATTTGCTAACTCAGTGTTCCTGGTGACTTAAAGTTAACTACCAAACGTGGCAAGAATCAACTCTCTCAAAATCAATTTCTCTCCTAGTACTACCTAACATATACACAGGGACTTCAAAATGTTCCTGGAAAATGGAATTAAAAGGTTAAGTTTGCTTTGGTGCAAAATATATTAAAATCTTGATATTTGAGTATTAATCTACTTATTTAGAAGGCAAACTCCTACAAGGCAAAAATTTCCTTTCACTGTATTGCCTCACCTTGGGTTCACAGAAGTGTTTGGCACTTATTGGAAACACTTGTTATATGGATAATCAATAACAAACAAAGGATGGACAAGCAAGTCCTCAAAGAAACTCAGCTGCCAGTACTTACCTCACATGGATATGTAAAAAAAAAAGTCTCCATTGTCAGTGCTACTGCCTACCATTGGGAGGCCTCAGGGAGGTCAATCATGAAATCACAAAGACTGTAATTGTGTATCTGCTTTGACCAGGCAGGGCCACTCTCCCAAAAGAAAACTCGGACTTGTGGTAACATTTCACTAAGGGTACCTGCTGTAGCACTATTGACAGCAGCAGCTGCAAAACTCTAAATCACCTAAGAATCTAAAAAGATTAGTGAAACAATGGCTATCTATATAATGTGGCATTATGTAGCTGTTCTACAGGTTTTCAATAACTGAGATGGAAAACTCATTAAACAAATCATATAAGTAAGTTCTAGCAGGCTCTCATTTTTATTTAAAATCTATATGCATAAAACATGATTGTTTGCAATAGCTATCATTAAGTATCAATCAAGATGGATGATTCAAAATCCGGTTTTCCTGTATTTTTCCATTTTTATTTACAATAAATATGTATTATATGCTTATATGACTATATTCAATAATCTCACATACACACACACACACATATACACACACAAAAAAAAAACCAGGAGGGGTGTGGGAGTAAATCTGACAAATAGATTATGAAGTACTGAGTTTCTGGCCACGTCTTTTACCCAAAGACCACTGCCACCCTTAAATCTAAGGAACTGCTGCTGTCACTTGAAATCACTACGGCGGCGATGCTGTCTGGGGATCTCATCGCGACATGAAGCCTGAGAGGTGGAACTGAAGCAGATAACACTGCTGACTACGTGACAACAACTCTACTCAATCCCAGCCCTACAACGTATCCACAGTGTACAGGGGCTCTTTATCTGTAAAGTGTGATCAAAGCATCTCATGCATTAAGAATGCTGGGATTTAACTGAATCAACATTTCATAACATTACAGAACCCAACAGGCTCATAGCAAGCCTGGTAAACACTGGTTATTATTCTCTTCCTAAACAGAACTGTTACATGGTGTCTCACTCTGTGTACATAACTAAATGCCTTGGCAAGAAATTCAGGTTAATGTTAATGTTTTGTATATCACTATAAACATACATTACTTCTTACTGTTAAAGCTCATTTATTGGTAACTTAATATTACTCGAAGTTCTAGCAGTAAGATTTCCTGGCATCTTTCATAAGGAGAAAAAGCAGACGACTGGTCCTGAGTAAGTTTACATCTTCACAGCACTCTATGAACAGAAGAAACAGGCTTGGGCTCTAGGACCACAGAACCAGAAGCGCAACTGTCACACATTCATATACTGCACACAACAACTTATGTTTGTCTAGTGTTTTTCCTGACCTGACATAACCAAAATTTTTTTTTTTTTTTTTTTGACAGGCAGAGTGGACAGGGAGAGAGAGAGACAGAGAGAAAGGTCTTCCTTTGCCGTTGGTTCACCCTCCAATGGCCGCCACGGCCGGCGCGCTGCGGCCGGCGCACCGCGCTGATCCGATGGCAGGAGCCAGGAGCCAGGTGCTTTTCCTGGTCTCCCATGGGGTGCAGGGCCCAAGCACCTGGGCCATCCTCCACTGCACTCCCTGGCCACAGCAGAGGGCTGGCCTGGTCTTCCAACCGGGACAGAATCCGGCGCCCCGACCGGGACTAGAACCCGGTGTGCCAGCGCCGCTAGGCGGAGGATTAGCCTATTGAGCCGCGGCGCCGGCCTGACATAACCAAAATTTAAAATCTGCAAATTCAATGCACCCAACTGCACTGCCAAAAACGATACAGTAACTCTTCATGTTTTACATTTTGAAATCTTCATCTTCCCATAAGCAGAAAATGAAACCAACAAGGAGGATACATTCCTGATCAATTTAATTTGTAAAACGGAGTCCATGCTTCACAGGCAGAACCAGAAGGAAGACAACCCTCCAGGAGCTTACATTTTGTTCATGGTTATTACATAAGGCCAGTGTATGAACACTACCTGAAAACACGTTTTTTTCTAAGTGCAATAATAAATATTAAACTGAAAAGAATTAAGCATTTAAAAATTCTCAAACAGGTACTCGTCAAAATGAGGTAAGTCTAGTGTGTCATTAACTAAAGGATTTAATGCTGAAGTGGAAAAAAACTCATCGAAAATATCAGTCTTCACGGGACTCTCCAAGCTTAACGTTTTAATGCAGGCATTACTTGTTGCTAAGTCTGGCTGAACTTCACATTGATTTTTCTTGCTGGGGCTGCAATAATTATGGTCCTGTCGCAGATGTGTGTTTTGGGGAATATCATTTAACTCACTAGGTACTGGTGCTGGAATACAGTTATCTCCCATTTCCAAGTATCCAAAGTCAACATCTCCATTGTCTGAGAGCTCTGTTGAAACAGTGTTTGTAGGAGACAACAGTTCTGCTAAAATGTCTTCATGAGTCTGACCACTGTATGAGGAAACATCAGAAACAGGAGTGCACCCAGGTTGCTTATCTGCAATATCAATCTGAAACTGCAGCTCATTTAACAAGTCTTCTAACGAGTCACAGTCATTTGGAGACTCACACTGGGACACTTGCTCTAAATGTTCACTTGCAAGTGTTCCATTTTGGGGGGAAGACTTCAGGGTAGCTAATTTCTTCTTTTTGGCTTTTAGTTTTTTAAGAAGTTTTAGTCGAAGTTTATGGATCTGACCTTCAACTGAGTCTCCATGTTTTGCTGAAGAAAGAGGACTGTGGCTGAGGTGAGCTCTATAGGAGGTGTTTTCACACTTCTTCAAACCTTCTGAGGCAGCACTCGAAGCGGGAGCAGCAATTCTAGCAGGTGGAGCAGCCGTGTGAGCCGGTGGAGGGCAGAGGAGGAGCTATGCTAGCAGGTGGAGGAGCGGCCATGCTAGCCGGCGGAGGAGGAGCTATGCTAGCAGGTGGAGGAGCGGCCATGCTAGCCGGCGGAGGAGGAGCTATGCTAGCAGGTGGAGGAGCAGCCGGGCGAAGTGGCAGAGGAGCTGGAGGAGCAGCAATTCTGGCAGGTGGAGCAGCCGTGTGAGCCGGTGGAGGAGCTGGAGCTGCGGTTTTGCTAGCTGGTGGAGGAGCGGCCGTGCCAGCAGGTGGACAAGCTGGTGGGGGACTCTGGACCGGAAGTGGCTTACCTGCGTGCCTCCGAGATTTCTTGGATACCTGCTTACCCTTTTGGTTTCTACCTTTACCTTTAAAGCCATCTACACTATTTGCCCTTGTAACGACTGAATGCAGAACAGTGTCTCTATTGCAAGCTGAAACACAGAGTGGCATGAAAGAAGCCCCCCTGCTTAATAAGCCTTTAACCCAACTTCCCACAAATGGTTTCTTCTGATTTTCTTTCAGACACTGACTCTGTAGTGACTTCACTGTGAAGGTCTGGGGTTCTGCTGCAGGCTTTTTCTCCTCCAAATTAGAAAGCTGAGATGTAGTGTGTTGTTCTGATTTTAATTCCTCCAATTTTTGTGGAAAGGACTGTTTGAACTGAGCGCTCGTCTCCATTTCTGTTGCCTCCACTCCCTGTGTAAGGACTGCAGCGTGACTGTCACTCACAGATTTAGAACTGCCGCTGTCTCCCGTATTCGGCTGCACTGACGGCATGTTTGTATTTACAACTTGAGATGGAACGCCTAAACCTACACACTGGTCTTGAACTTGTTTTTCTTTACATGGATCTGATACCGAAGAAGCCGTTAGTGAGTCTTGTGATGGTAAAGCTCTGGTTTCGACAATTCCTGTATTTTCTGCTACAGGCTTATTTTCTAAGTTTGGGAAAGACTGAGAGTTCACTTGGACAACAGAGGCGGTTTCCTGGACAGTTTCTTTAAGTGTCAAAGGTAAAACCTTATTGGCAACCCAATCTTTTGGTTCTGGGAGAAAATGATCCCCAGGAGCCACGGCATCGCCTGGTGGAAGAGCGACTGATCTACCTGCAGGGTGAGTCACGGAGGCCGCGCCAGCTGAGGGGGCCGCACGCCCAGGACACAGCGCTGGAGACGCCGGCTGCTCAGCACCAGAAGCGTGCTCATCGCTGGGTTTTTCAAGCAGAAGGCGAGCACCTTCTTTATCTGTCACTTGGGATGTTTTTCTTTCCCAAATAACGATATGGATCTCTGAAGCAGGAATTTCAAATTCTTCATGCCTTTCAGAACACAGGCCTTTTAAGTCATCACATTCCAGCCAACTTCCTGGGGGTTAGGAAAGAAAGTCAAAGAGGGTTACACATTCAAACATCACCATCCTGTGTTAACTCTCTTCTGATCTTTTTAAAACATGGCTGTGTCCTGCTCACCGTCCTTCTCATGTTAAAGTCTTTATTTGGATGACAAAAGTTATGGACTAATATACTCAGAAATCTGAAAAACTGAGGCAATTTTCTGGATAGCTTATACTCTCCCAAAATGTCCACAAAAAACAAGACAATTATGAGCATAATTAACCTTTGGTACTTAGAATACGGTAACAACCAATTTATCCAACTTCAGAAAAGAGTAAGTTGTTCCACATTATGGACTTAGCCAGATAAATGAAAATCATTACTTTAAGTAAAAGCATTTGTTTTAGTTCTTGCATTATTTTGCGTCTGTTTTCTTATTTGTCAAGCGGTAAGAAAGATGGTTGATGACAAGGGACACGTATGAAGACGAGGACTAGCTCTGTGAAGAATCCACTATTTATAGCAATCTGGTCACTGCACAATTTCAGTGGTGTGGTAGGAATGAGAGTCATTAAGTAGTGGTACAACGTGAATGAAGAGATGACCTGTCTTAAACTATCTGTTACAAAAAGAGGAGAACACACAGACACCAGCAGGACAGCTACCCTCAACAACCACCAGCACCACGACCACAGATGAAAACCACCAAGGCTGGCGGGGACCTGGAGACAGTGGAATCCTCGTGCCTTGCTGGGGGAACATCAAGTGGAACAGCTGCAGTGCCACAGTCTGGTGTTTCCTCCCAACGTTGGATGCAGAACTACTCTGAGACCCAGCAAGTGCCCCTGCAGGCACACACCCGAAAGAACTGGACAAAGGGTCTCAGCCACTCGTGCCTTATTATTCACAGCTCATTACACACAGTGCTCGGAGGCGGAAACAACACACATGTCCATCAACAGGTAAGCGGGTAACACAGACAATGGAATCTTACTCAGCCTTTTAAGAAGAGAAAACTTGACAAGCACAACATGGATGCATCTAGAAAGTATGCTAACTGAAATAAGCCAGACATAAACTGAGAAATGTTGTACAATTCCACTTGCATGAGGTACCTAGAGTTGTCAAATTCCTACAGACAAGCAGAATCACTCGGGGGTAGAGGGAAAGGAAGTCCCTGTTTAAGGAAAATTAGTTAGGATGATAGAAAGTTCTAGAAATGGATGGTGATGCACAATACTATGAATGTATTTAATGCTATCCAATTGCACACTTAAAATGTTAAAATTGTAAACTTTGTTATGCTTATCTTACCAAAATAAAAAAATACAAACAAAAAGTACACTAGACAGGTGACAGAGATTAAGAAAGATATATCTAGGGGCCGCACTGTGGCACAGTGGGTTAATGCCCTGGCCTGAAGCGCTGGCATCCCATATGGGCGTTGGTTCAAGATCCAGCTGCTCCACTTCTAATCCAGCTCTCTGGTATGGCCTGGAAAAGCAGTGGAAGATGGCCCAAGTCCCTGCATCCATGTGGGAGACCCGGAAGAGGCTCCTGGCTTCAGATTGGCACAGCTCCAGCCATTGTGGCCAATTAGGGAGTGAACCATCGGATGGAAGACCCCCCTCTCTCTCTCTCTACCTCTCCTCTCTGTGTAACTCTGACTTTCAAATAAATGAATCTTTAAAAAAAAAAGAGGAAAGTATAACTATACTTTATTTATGATCATGTGATAACTGGGACAAGTTAACCAAAGGCTGGGATGAATAACAGCTTCTTAATAACAATATCTGTGTTTTTATTACTGGCTTTTCAAAACAACTCACACTTTCCCTTTATACATCAATATCTATATTTCTATGACATATAAAGTAACTACAAAAAGTAAACTGTCATGGAAATTGTAGAACAGCAAATATGTGCTCTCTTTCTACAAAACCTAATGTGATCAATTAAAAAAAAGTTATATTAACACCATCCTACCTACTATACGACATTTTTCTACTCTCTGAATTGTAATAGTGAGCATGCAAACCACTGTATTTCTTCTAAGGAGTAGTTACTTTAAAAAACACCACACTTAAAAACACACACACACACACACACACACTTTAAGGCCGGCACTGAGCGTAGCGGGTAAAACCACTGCCTGCAGTGCTGGAATCCCATATGGGTGCTGGTTCGAGACCTGGCTGCTGCTCTTCTGATCCAGCTCTCTGCTGTGGCCTGGGAAAGCAGAAGATAACACAAGTCCTTAGGCCCCTGCACCCGCGTGGCAAGACTCAGAGAAAGCTCCTGGCTTCAGATGAGCGCAGCTCCGGCCACTGCGGCCAACTTGGGAGTGAACCAGTGGAGGGAAGACCTCTCTCTCTCTCTCTCTGCCTCTCCTCCTCTCTCTGTGTAACTATAACTTTCAGATAAATATGTAAATCTTTTTAAAAAACCAAAAACACCACACTTTAGCAGCAGAGAGGGGACAACCGCTTTAAGGGAGAAGAAGAATGTTTACAAGGTTCATCTTAAATACTCAAAGTGTGCTAAGTTTCCCTTTTCCCTTCCTTCTACACACACTCCTACCTTCTCAGAAAAACATTTCTAGGAGTGAGATAGAAAACTACTGGCTCGTAAACACATGATGCATCTGTCCTTCACTTTGTTAGGACAAGAAAAGATCTTAAGTGTACAGGGACAGAAGAGCTCGATCTTAGGTTTCCAAGGTTTCCTAGAAGGAACTCATTCTGAGGAACAGGGAAGGTTAGGAGAGGAGAAAGGGATCTACTCTCGATGCTTCAGGCCAACTCAGTTATTAGTAGACTGGGCAATTTCCAAAGTATCCCCAGTGACTAAGTGAGACTGACAAAGGTCCAAGACCCAGCACAGCTTTTTAAAAACTACCCCAAAGGGGAAAATTAAAAACAAGATTAATATGCTTATTAAAATATAAGATATGATGCGAAGTAAACTGAGTGCATAAGTCACAAATAGAAATAAGAGTTCTCTAATAGTTAAGTTACAAAAAGGAAAATTAAATGAACTGCTAACCCTCCCACAGAACAAAAACAAAACCACTCACTAAGTATGTGGTTTATGTAGATGCATATGTACAAAATACCTGACCCCTCCATTTTTTTTCTATGCTCAGTAAAACTCTGAGATTTTTGTTGGTCTGCATCAGTTGTTCTCTATCAAAAGTGCACTTTAGAACCACCTGAGGAGCTTCTACAACATTAATGATATTTGGGGCAATCTTTAAGACTGATCATTGGTCTGGAGTAGAGCCTGAAAATTTTTTAAGCAAACCAACTGATTCTTATATGCTGTCAGGGTGGGAACCAGGCTGTGCATGAAGCGGACTTTTTACTCCCTGCCATGAACAGCAAGCTAAAGTAAGCAGGTTTTGTTTTTATGTTGTGGAGAATTACTTCTATCCAAATTGTAATGGAGGGTGATACTTTAAGGTAATAATTATATTCATAATGTAAGTTTCAGTTTGTAAAGCACTTTTGTAATCCAGTATTTTTAATGACTTTCATCTATTAGAAAGGCCTGTCCGTATAATGCAGTATTGTGCCATCCATCCAAACATCCCTCTGGGAGGATGTAAAAAGTGCCCAAACAACAGGGAACAGTTACATCAAAGTGACCCCTTACCAACGGCCTGATATAAAACGTTCAGGGGGTTCAGCTGCCTAAGGCAAAGTAAACACTCAGAAAAATAAACTAACAAACTACATTAGACAAACAGAAGGGGAAAAAACTTTCAAAACTCATGAACTGTACTTATTTTTGAGAATCTTATATAAATAAAGCTGTTAGCAAACTATGCATTTCAGATATTCTATTTAACAGTGACAGGGGGCTATACTGTCTAATAATAATCCTAGAGGGGCTAGTGCTGTGGTGTAGCAGGTAAAGCCGCCATCTGCAGTACCAGCATCCCATATGGGCACCGGTTCAAGTCCCGGCTGCTCCACTTCTGATCCAGCTCTCTGCTATGGCCTGGAAAAGCAGTGGAAGATGGCCCAAATGCTTGGGCCCCTGCACCTGCATGGGAGACCCAGAAGAAGCCCCTGGCTCCTGATCGGTGCAGCTCCAGTCATTGCGGCCAATTGGAGAGTAAACCAAAGGACGGAAGACCTCTCTCTGTCTCTGCTTCTTCTCTCTCTGTGTAACTCTGACTTTCAAATAAATAAATAAATCTTTAAAAAAAAAAAAAAAGAAGTGGAACAGCCCAGACTTGAACCGGCACCCATATGGGAACCCTGCCCTTAAAAAATATAATCATCATCCTAGAAACAGATGTGTACTATTTTGCTTACACTAACAATTACATACTAAATACAACTTTTTCAATTAAAATTAAACTTTTTCAATTAAAAACCTCAGAGTGATGAACTTCCTCTGCAAGAGATTTATGCAGCATCCACAAAATTGAAATTCTGGGACCTGCACTGTGACTTAGTGGGTTAACCTGCTGCCTCAGATACCAGCATCTCACATAAGCACCAGTTTGCATCCCAGCTGCTCCATTTCCAATCCAGCTCCCTATTAATAGCCTGGGAAAACAGCAGAATATGGCCTAAGTTTTTGGATGAAGCTCATGGCTTTGGCCTGGCCCAGCCTTGGCCCTTGCGGCATGAACCAGTGGATAAAAGATCTTTCACTGTCCCTTTCTCTCTCTGTAACTCTGCCTTTCAAATAAAATCAATCAATCCCTTAAAAAATTAAACATATATTACTCATAAAATTAAAAAATAAAAATATGAAGTGGAAAACAAGCAAACTGTAAATGGACAGTACATGATCTCATCCTTTGTCTAAAAAGGAAATACTTATAGCAGAGATCCATGCTATAAGAAAAAGGAAGAACATAAAGGTACTTCAAAAAGTTCATGGAAAATCAAATTAGAAGTTTATTTTGCTGCACTTACCATCAGCATCTAAAATCCAGGTTATAAAATGATTACTTGCTTGGTACTGAATTATAGACTTTATTTCATAAAGACATCCTTCCAAATGAAATGCATAGCGCTGCAAGTCCTTCTGTGGCAAGCCTTCTACAAAGTGCACCATGAATATGGGAGACACTCTGTGGAGAACAAAGGCAAGAAAAGTCAAACAAATTCAACGCCATGTGTCTGCTCATACAAAGACGGGCTGAAGCAAACTAGTCACACATAATACGTTCAAGGCAAACTGCACTAATTTTTCTTGAGCACCTCCAGATGTGTGCCTTAATTAGAAATGGAGAACTTGCTCTAAGAAATATGTAACATTAAACCCTTTTCAGAATGGTATCAATGACAGTTGGAAGCCATCAGGCAGTAAGAATCTAACACAGACCATTAAACAAAAATTGCTCAAGTAAGAAGCAATGCTGCTTTGGCTTATAGAAGATTTCATGCGAGGTACATGGTAGAATTAAAGGGAAAAATCCAGACCTTTCAGAATTTTCTTTGGCATCAAGTGCCCAAATCAAATTAACTGCTTTTGTTAGGTAGAGTAGGTAATGCATGAAACGAAGCAATAAACCTGTGATATTCAAAGTCACATTAATTTGGTTTATTTCTTTCAGCTATCTCTGGAAGTAGAGAAGTCTACCAAACCAAAATTTTCACGGAGGAAAAGTTTCTAAATAGAGAGGAAGATACAGCATCCTGGCTGATTTACTACAAACTGTAAGACAACCATCATTCCTAAATGCATTTTACTATCAGAGCAACATGCCAAAACAGAAAATAGAACCCAGAGACAGGCCTCAAAAACCAAATTTAACAAAGCCCTCAGGATTTAAGAAAAATGTTGAATATCCCTTTTCCCAATATTTGAACAGCTGTCAAAACTTACTTATCTTATTAAAATATATTCAGCTGAAATGAACTGGAATCAATGTCCAAAATGAAGATTATTTAGACTGACAAGAGATAATTTGTAAATTATTCCTTGTCAATCATTTTGTCAGAGAATAATCAAGTCCTCAAATTTTAAGTGCCTATACAGAAGAAGCCCTGCAAACTCTACAGCACTATGTCCTACTGTTGTTTCTACCACATTTATTTCAATGAATCTGAGATGTCACCGACTATAAAATGTGCCACCATGAAAAAACCAGACTACATCATGCCATCAAATTTGAGATGTACTCCCATTTCAGGTATGTTAAAACGTGAGGTATGTGTCCTTATGTCGATGATCCACAGTAAAAATAGATACACGTTCACAGCTCACTTTGCAAGCTTTTTATACCTAAGAGTTAATTAAAAATATTTTAAAATAAAATATTTATAATATCAAGTTCTGTTGGCCTCATATAAAACCTCTCAAGACATCTTCTGAGCTAGTTGACAAAGGCATTAATAATAAGTAAAGTAATCCATTAAGATCATCTGACATATTTTTGTAAATTCGAGTCTTCTAAACTCCCCTGTGGCAAATTAGTAAAAGTAAAAACCAAGATTAAAACCTGCACCCTGGGTATAGTGGATAAAGCTACCACCTGTGACGCCTATATCCCATATGTATGAGTCCCAGAAGCTCCACTTACGATCCAGCCCCCTGCCTGAGAAAGCAGCAGAGGATGGCCCAAGTGTTTGGGCACCTGCACCCACGCTGGAGACCAGGAAGAAGCTCTTGGCTCTTGGCTTTGGACTGGCCAGGATCCAGCCATTGTGGCCATTTGGGAAATGAACCAGCAGATGAAAGGTCTCTCTCTCTCTCTCTTTGTAACGCTGACTTTCAAATAAATAAATGAATTTTTTTTATAAATTATGACTTAGATTTATTTATTTTTTTAATTTGACAGATAGAGTTAGACAGTAAGAGAGGGAGACAGAGAGAAAGGTGTCCCTTCCGTTGGTTCACTCCCCAAATGGCTGCTATGGCCGGCACTGTGCTGATCCGAAGCCAGGAGCCAGATGCCTCCTCCTGGTCTCCCATGCGGGTGCAAGTGCCCAAGCACCTGGGCCACAGCAGAGAGCTGGACTGGAAGAGGAGCAACAACCAGGACTAGAACCCGGCACTCATATGGGATGCCGGCACCACAGGCGGAGGATTAACCAAGTGAGCCACGGCGCTGGCTCCTGGCTTTGGATCAGCATAGCTCTGGCCGTGGCAGCCATTTGGGGGATGAACCAACGGAAGAAAGACCTTTCTCTCTGTCTCTTTCTCTCACTAACTCTGTCAAAAAGAAAAAAAATTAAAAAAATCTGCATCCTGCACACTTTCTTGGATTTAACAGACATTCAAACTCTAGTTGGATATAGATTCCCCTGGATACCAAGAAATGACCTGCCCGAAACCTCCAAAGCCAGAGGAGGTAGAAATTTGATTTTCTTATCCAGCACAAAAGGGAAGACAACCATCAGGGCAATTGTATCCATTTTAAAACATCCTCTTAATTACACCAGCCACTCAGCCAAAATATCACCTGGCCACCAAAGTTAAGCAGGGCTCATGTGGAGCAAGACAACAGAGAGAAGAACCACAAATCTTTCTGGCGTTTCTGCTACTTCATCCACATAGAGGCGAGCCCTCAGAATGTCCTCCTAGCGTTACTTTCCATTAGTATGAAACTTGATAGGTTTCACATGCCAAACAGAGCTCACGTTCCTTTTCTCTAACGCTAGGATGCACCTTGTAACTGATGGCACGCAGTTAAGTAGGCAGCGTTTTTTCAATGGCATATTAAAAAAAAAAAAAACAAAAACACAGTGCAATGTGTGAACACTGGTATCCTGGAGTCAGTCAAATAAAGCATTCACTCCGTCCTTCTTTCCTTTTTCATTTTCCTCTTTAGATCCCCTAGAACAGGAGTGGGGAACCTCTTTTCTGTCAAGGGCCATTTGGACATTTCTAACATCATTTGCGGGGCATACGAAATTATCAACTTAAAAATGAGTCTGCTAGAGATTTACTGAATGTTGAGTCCCACCTGCAGTTGCCTTTGCAGGGCTGGACCAGATGAATTCACAGGGCAGGACATCCCCACACCTGCCCTGGAATCTAGTGTCCCTGGAAGTTACAGAATTCTCCTACTCAAAATTACAGCTTGTCTCATTTCCAGCCTCTCAGGCCAGGGTGGAACTTTACCCCTTGTTTGGTACTCAATTTCATTTTCAAGCTTCTTCCTTCCTGCAATGCCTGGAGTATCAATCAGAGATGAAGCTCAGAGTTGACAGCAAATTAGGTACTGCTTCAACCACAGGAAAATTACATGGGACAGATTAAGAGAACTAGAATCTAGAGTCAACAAGAGATTTCAAGCTAAGATCCATTTGCATTCAACTGAAGTGGCACTGGACTCCTACTTAAGGATCTACCCTTAGGAAAAGAAAACAGAACAGAGAGAAAACAGCACAAGAGAACTGTGCTAGTTATCTACTCCCCAAACACAGCAGGGATATGAGTTCCTGGTCTCATAAAGAGCACTCACATCTTGTGCTAGTGGTTTGAAGTATAAGTTTTTAATTTCCTTTCCAACTAGTGGAATAATGCCTATTTTCGAAAATGCAATTTTAACAAGATGTATATATGTGCATCTGAACTGTAATAATTAGGCTTTAGAGAGAAAATAAATGCAAATGTAATTTTTAAGTCTCATTATACTTCACATCTATCATATCACTACTGCAACTATTTCAGACTGATAAAAAATGAAAAATTGTGAATGAAATCAACTGTAACCCAAATAATTAGAATTGGTTCCTATTAACTGTAACAAGAAAATACCTCTTTAGAAAAGTACAGCTGCTCAAAGGTTTGCAAGCTGTACTTTGGAGGTAGTATAAGGATCTTATAAAGAATAAAGAGGAGCTGGCTGTGGGGAGCAACTCGGACTAGACTAAGTTACTGGAATTAAGACTTATTCTATGCATCTGCTCTCCCACAATATGGCGCTGAGAAGGGAGAAACAGCTTCTACACAGCTGCCTCCAGTTCAACCAATAAACTGTAGGACCTGCTCCTGATTGGAGGAGAGCAGCGTACTCGGCGTGTGGGTAGCAGAGTTGGGATTGGCGGAAGAGGACTATAAAGGAGGAGAGAGACAACATGCACCAGGAACATCTAAGGGGAACATCTATCTGAAGGAACACCTGTGCAGCCCCCGAGAGAGCCGGCCGGCGGTGTACCGCTCCCCCCGCGGAAGTGGGGAATGTGGCAGGGGGAACCGCCCTTCCACGGAGGTGGAAGGGTCGGTAGCCAACCCGGGAAGAACCAGCAGCAAACCTGGGGAGGGCCAAGCAGACAAAAGAACAGCGCAGGGTCCTGTGTCGTTCCTCCACGAAGACGGGGAGCGACATAATGGTGCCATGACTCGGATATGAAGCCTAGGCAGGGTTTAGTGTCGTTCCTCCACGAAGAGGGGGAGCGACACTGGCACTGTGGCATAGCAGATAAAGCTGCTGCCTGTGGCACCTGTATCCCATATGTATGCCAGTTCAAGACCCGGCTTGCTCCATTTCTGATCCAGCTCCCTGTTAATGCACCTAGGAAAGCAGTGGAGGATGTCCAAGTGCTTGGGCCCTTGTACCCATCTGGGAGACCCAGAGGAGGCTCCTGATGGCCCAGATCCAGCCACTACAGCCGTTTAGCAAGTGAGCTAGCGGACGGAGGATCTCTCTGTCTTTGCCTTGCATGCTCTCTGTAATTCTGCCTTTCAAATAAAATAAATCTTAAAAAAAAAAAAAACAAAAAACCAGGAATAAAGCATTTCCTATCAAGCAATGAGGATTTAGATAAATTATAGCTATTTTATATATCAGTATCCATTCAAACTTTTGCAGAGGAGCTTAAATCAAAAAGCCTCCATATCACTGTAACACACTGAATAAGCTCTGTAAGCACAGAAATGTCTTATTTCTACCACTTCCCTATTCTTTACAAAGAGTTGCTTAATAACTCACTGTTCAAAGTGAGTTTAAATACACGTTTCAAATGCTGATCCACAGCAGTGTACGACCAGACTCCTGAAGGAGACTGTAATGAGGTTAACTTCAAGAGTTTGGGAAGTAAATAAACAGTTTTGGAAGTAAATAAAATCTGGTTCAGGGATCTTGGTGCTCCATGATTCCTAAACAATTTACTTGAAGACATGAAATGAGTTTTGATCCACTAGGCGCCATTCACCTGATTTATCAATGGATTCCTTTTCTAATGGGGACATAACAGAGATGTGGATTATCTAAGACAAGGTGTTCTATTACTTTTTAGAATGTTGCATGATAGAATTACCCATATATCATGATGGATATAATTGCTTTTAAGTGAATTCCTAAAGACTATATTAAATCTATTTTTAAATTTCAGCAGGTACAAACAAATCAAGTTATGCAAATTTCAAAGTAAAAAACTACAAAGGACTTATATAAAGATCTTATCATTTAAATGAAATTTTACACTAGTTCAATTTACTTTTGAATATATGGAAAATATTCAAATTACAAATTTTGTTCATAAATTGGCCTCTCAGTTATTAAAGCAAATTTTCCAATGAAACAGTTTTACCTAATAGATACATTTCCAGACTACAGCATGAATCTTTAATGTAAGTAAAAACAACATACTAGTATAATTAAACAGTTAATGCTGCAATGAAACAATTAACAGATCAAACAAAGTAACAGAATGAGTCTATCTTCTATCATTAGGCTTGAGAAAAAGCAGGTATAACCAAAAAATGATAAACCCCAAGAAGTCTGAAGCCATGCAATGGCCCAGTGCAGGATGACAGACGGTCACACGCTGCCGCCCTTCCACCTGCCTTCTCAACAAGGAAAGGGCGTCAGAGAGGCTCCCTCAACTTGCTCCCAAAGCTTGGACAGCAGAAAGCCAAGATTACAGACTTCTGGTTAAGCACAGCTCCTCTTCCTTCCCATTCAAATGCTATGGGATACAGTAAAGGACAAAGAGGAAAAGGAGGCAGGCATGCAAAAGAGAAGTCAGCAAATTCAGAAGACAAAAACCGACAGACAAGCGGTACCTCGCAGGGCAGATGGCCCAGTGGTAATGGCAGTGCTACAGAGTGGCCATACTAAGAAGAGCTTATTTGGCCCACTGGAGCCCTATAAGATTCCATGTTTGTAGATTACAGATGCCCTGGAACAAGGGGATGAGGCCCTGGGCTAGAAACTAGAAGAATGACTCCAACTATATAATGAAGAACGCCCTGAACATAAGCACCACATGCTTGGCTAAGAGGGAATAATGATGTATACAATGGTACTTCTAGAAGTTTCTGGAGGCTGGTGCTGAGGCCTAGTAGGTTGAGCCTCTGTCTGTGCAGCCAGTTCAAGTTCTGGTTGCTCCACTTCTGATCCAGCTCCTTACTGGTGGCCTAGAACAGTGGAGGATGGCCCAAGTGCTTGGGACCCTGTACCCATGTGGGTGACCAGTAAGAAGCTCCTGGCTCCTGGCTTCACATTGGCCATTTGGGGAGTGAACCAGCAGATGGAAGATATTTCTGTCTCTCCCTCTGTGACTCTGCCTCTCAAAAGATTTATTTATTTATTTATTTGAAATTCAGAGTTACAGAGAGAGAAAGAGAGGTCTTCCATCTGCTGGTTCACCCCCCAAATGGCTACAACAGCTGGAGCTAGGCTGATCCAAAGCCAGGAGCCAGGAGCTTCTTCCAGGTCTCCCAAACGGATGCAGGGGGCCCAAGGACTTGGGCCATCTTCTACTGCTTTCCTAGGCCAAAGCAGAGAGCTGGATTGGATGTGGAGCAGCCGGGACTGGAACCAGCACCCATATGGAATGCCGGCACTGTAGGCGTTGGCTTTACCCGCTATGCCACAGCACCAGCTCCAAAAATAAATTAAAAAAAAAAAAAAAAAAAAAAAAAAGTTTGTGGAAAATGAAGTCTATTTGGATTAAAAAAGCCTAAAACCCATGCATAGTTTTTTCATAATGTACACTATTTTTCATTTAAGAAATTTTTATTGGTAAGATGATATGAGATACAAAGATGAACAATGCACACTTTATACGAGCTTTTTGAAGACCTTTGAATCCATAAAAACACAAGTACCCTGCAAGTACTAACTTAGCCAAATACATTATCCCACTGGAAGGACAACGATGGGGCCAAGGTTTGGTATTAAAAACCTAGTCTTCAACTACTATAAAAGGAGAACAAAGTGCATACAGCAGAGCAAATGAATCATCTGAAATGCCACAATTCAGTGGACCCTTCATAGGGGGTAGAAGTGGGATTGGCTCCAATCTGTGGATGCTCAAGTCTCTAATATAAAATAGTACAGTATTTGCACAGCACATGCATGTCCTCCCATATACTTCAAATCATCTCTAGATTACTTATAATAGCTAATACAACGGAAATGCTCTGTAAAATAACTCTTCTATATTGTTTAGGGAATAATGACAAGGGCAAAAAGTCTTTCCATGTTATTGCAGATACAGTTCTAAAAAAACATAATTTCAATGCAAGGTTGGTGGAATCCACAAAAGGAAGGGTTGACTGCACTACCTTAAGGCTGAAGCCCGGAGGCAGGGAAGACTGCCCCTCCTCCCTTTTAAGCCTTTGGGTAGTATTACCTGAACGAGTATTTATGCTTCAATGAGAATAACCCTTTGAAGAGATGCTGAGGACTTTCTGGCACATTCAAAGGCATCGCTGGTTCTTTATTAAACCAAATTGTATCTCAAAACATTCCCTTAATTGAAGAGTTAGAGATAAGGACACTGAAAATGAAGGTTAAAGATGTGTGAGTGCATGAACAAGACAGACTGCTGAAGCTGTAACTGACCCGAGAAGTTTAAAAAGACAGGACTTTTGGTGACACCAGAAAAGATAATTCTGACCAACTATTCCACTGTGGAAAAACAAAAAAGCTGGCAAAATGCAATCAAAACACATCTGCTTGAGGACGGCAGAAGACTTCCAAGATGATGAAGAATTAGCAGGCCGAGATCTAGGAAAAAATGAAAATGCACACAGATGAGCCTGTAGTTCATCTTGGAATCATCTTAGTTCTTGAAATCAGATTAAGGAGATCTCAGAATCCTAGTGACTTCAGGCACTTGGCATGAGAAAAAAACTGAAGTTTAATATCCTTAAAGATGTGGAGGCAGGAGGTGGGGGTGGCAGAAAGAAGGAAAACTGTAGGAGAACAGGGCCAGACAATCCCCCGAAGTCAGCTCTGCCGCCGAGTGTCACCCTGGATGGTATCAGCTAGTACACTGATTAACAGAAGCATCTGGTGATCCTAAGTGTGCGTTCACCCAAACTTCTGAAACGTAAGTTGTAGTCGCCATTCTGAATACCACACATTAAAAAATTTATATAAATCCACCCTCATTTTGTTTTAAAAATTGTAAGAAAATTTTAACTCACTTTTCTAATACCATTTTTCTTATTTGTGATTTATTGTTGCAATTGTTACAAGGACCGAAATGGGCAGCATTAAGAGGGTGCCACTCAGGGATGACATTTGTAAAAGTGACCAGACTCTTCGTACACCTATGAAGAAAGAAGACATAATTTAAGTTCATGTATGTAACTTCAGCCAATGCCTAAAACTAATGGCACTCCCTTTATTGCTTATTCATATTTTCATATTTCCTCAAATCACATTATCAACATGGTAGTGGAGCTCCCTGGCCCTAGTGACGAAGTTCTCTGAAGACTCCTCACATCACCGACAGTCTCTCAGCTATAAGGCAAAGCAAGAAAGCGACAAAGGCAGTTTCCAATAGCAGCACAGATAATCCTCTGGGATGGGGGGCACTGCCCTATGCACTGTGGGATGTTTTGCATTGTCCCTGGCCACTACTCACCAGAGGCCAACCCCAGCTATAATAACTGATGCCTCCAGAAATTGCCAAATGGCCTATGGCTGGGGCAGGGTGGGGGAGCCCCTACTTGAGCAGCACTATTCTAAGGTTGTCAGTTATAAAGCATTCATCCCTGACTCAAACAACTCCATGTGGCTGGCATTACTGACACCAAAAATGAAAAGAGGCATCTGCATCGTAACTGCCGTGCCAGGTGCCCACCCCAGACACGTCTCTCCCTTGAGCTCTCGGAGCTTTTGCTATGCACCTCTCAAGTGCAGTTACTACCTTGCGTTCAAAGATAATGGAAAGCAGCCCAAAGATCAACTAAATGACTAAGTTACTGGCCCTCCACTACGTGTTCATATATTATCTTCCCAACCCACAGGCTGAATGTGGCCAGGACAAATATTTCCAGAGGAGTCACTAGAACACAGGACACACTCAATGAAAAGCTGTGAAACCAAGATGGAGAGTCTAGAAAAGCTGGAATTGGGCTGATTTTCATCATAAAGCTTGTTCACAGTATTTAAGACCCAGGCAGTAACTAGGGAGCAGACCACAGTGAGAGTCTTGGAGGCCAGGAAAGCCCTGGCGTGCCTGCAGGTTCTGCCACTTACTAGTGTGTCACCTCCGGCACCGGCTGAGCCCCTTTCAAGCTTTGGTGTCCTATTTGTCAAGTGAGGATAACAGGACCTCCCGCACGGACTACAATCAGATAACTGAGGTCCATCAATGACAGACTAGAAACGGGTGTCTGTCTTCATCCTCACAAAAGGTGTTGAGTAAAAGGTTAATTCTTACCCTGTTCTAGTAGTCTTAAGCTTACCGGTAAAAAAACAAATACTTTTCTGTTGCGTGTGTTCCCTAGCACAGTCTCCCAGACTCAACAACATCTGACTGCTCCCTAAATACCTAAGAAGAATCTCATGAGTTAGGCACCACCTAAGCAATAAACTTCTCTCAGGGCAAAGGAATGCGAATTATCTCTATGAACTACTGCCAGCCTCTAGGAGTTTCTATGATGTTAAAAACGTAAAGTAAACAACAAATAAATACTCTGCTCTTTAACAGAGGAGTTGACAATGGAGTTATGAGAGCAGAGAATCTAAAGGGACACTCTCAACAGCAATCTATGAGACCATGGGCTTTGGATCCTTCCAGCTCCTAGCAGCAAGCGAGCTGCAGTTTGTCTTCAGTCTCAGTGCTGGAAAGACTTTGAGGTGTAGTGGGAAATTCGGTCAAGGGTAAAGAAATCAGGGAGAGCAGTATTCAAATGTGATCCTGACAATCATTTTCAGTAGATGAACTCCCTTTAAAAACACTCACCCACCTGTGTTGATACTGGTGTCCACACTGGGAACATTCAAAGTCCCAGGAAAAAGAATATGTGAAGAGCTTTTCAATGTGGGGCTCTAGTTTTAAGAGCAGGGGAAATGCGAACACAGGGCTTTCCATGTCACCTTCAATTGAAAGAGAAAAATCATCGTTCATAAGTAACAGTTACAAAAGGCAAACAAATAATGAACTGCTGTCTTTTCTCACTATAGAGACAGAGTTGTCACTCACATTTGGGTGGGGCACATTTCTGGAATCATCGCTCTAAAAATGCCCAGCATGATTTAGTTATCACCTCAGTCTATTTCTTTTTTTATTTACTTATGTACTTATATTTTTTAACTTTTATATAATGAATATAATAAATTTCCAAAATACAGCTTATGGATTACAATGGCTCCCCCCCATAACTTCCCTCCCACCCACAACCCTCCCCTCTCCCGTTCCCTCTCCCCTTCCATTCACATCAAGATTCATTTTCAATTATCTTTATATACAGAAGATCAATTTAGCCAATTTAGCATATATTAAGTAAAGATTTCAACATTTTGCACCCACACAGAAACACAAAATGAAAAATACTGTTTGAGTACTAGTTATAGCATTAAATCACAATGTACAACACATTAAGGACAGAGATCCTACATGAGGAGTAAGTGCACAGTGACTCCTGTTGTTGACTTAACAAATTGACACTCTTGTTTATGGCATCAGTAATCACCCTAGGCTCTTGTCATGAGTTGCCAAGGCTATGGAGGTCTTTTGAGTTCGCTGACTCTGATCCTATTCAGACAGGGTCATAGTCAAAGTGGAAGTTCTCTCCTCCCTTCAGAGAAAGGTACCTCCTTCTTTGATAGACCGTTCTTTCCACACCTGTCTATTTCAACAACAAAAACTACAGAAGACCCACACCACCTTCTCAGATAGCTAGCTATTCTCAGAACTATAAAAACTTTAGCATATATTGAAACAAAGGTTACACAGTTTGCTACAGACACTAACAAAATATAACCAGTGAAAATGTTAAAATATCAAAATTGGATAAAATCACTGAAACACCATTTCTACTCCAATTCTCTCCTCTGACCTTGGAGAAGGCATGACACACGGGGTTAAAGGGCCAGGCTTGAATCGCCCACCTCCTCATCTCCAACAACTGTAAGCCTGAAGAAGATCTGAATGTTGTTGTCACTAAAGCAAACACTGCATAGTAGATGGTAGCTTCCAGCTTGGAGATCAGCAAGTATGTTAAATGGGAAGATGTACATTCTTACATTCCTCCTCCAGGTGGTTTCTCTCCTTCCTATCCTTCGGGGTGCTAGGCTGCAGCCTTCCTGGGCTGGCCCTGCACAGTTAAGAGTCCTTCCAACTCCTCCCTCCTCAGGACAGAGTTGCACTTTCACAGTCCAGTTGTCTCACTACCCTGGAACTACAGCTGCCCAGAATGTGTTACTGCCTAAGCATATACTGTAAATACCTGTAGTTAAAATGGCGATTTAAATAGTCATCTTTAGGGTACAGTCCCATTGCTATTTTTGTACAAAAACATAAAACCCAAATGAAATATTCTGTATAAATAGAAATACAAGTGATCTCGAAATGAGTGTTCAACGCCATATGCATAAACAGTATGCAGTACAGCATGAATTTGTAATTAGTCCCCAGCCTTTAAATGTGTACTGTATCACAATTCAGTATTAACTGAAAAAGCAAACCATCTGCATTTCCTAACAATAGAATATTCAGGTGGAAAATACAGAAAGTTCTCAATGAAACAACCAAAACACACTGTTAGCTATATGGTTATAGATAATTTTAGGCTATTTATATAGTTCCTAAATTAATCATCTTTTTCCTTTGATTACAAATTCTATGGGTACTAAGCATAAAACAGCTTAACTAGAGAACATAAAATACCAATACCTAATTTAAATCTAAGCCTCTGCCTAACTAAGTGACTTTTTGCTCCCACGATCAACATCTACTCCCATCCCAACTCCTAATCTAGTCTGTGCATTTCCTTAAAACACCACTGCCAAGATGCAAAGCTTTTAGTGACTCTTTTCTGACTATTCAAGTTTTCTTGTGTGTTAATTATTCATTAATATCTTTAGGCCACTTTTCTGTCAGGTTATCTTTTTTTTTTTTTTGACTGATGTTCAAGAGTTCTTTGTTGGATATCATTTCTTTGTTCTACCTTTGCCCAGAGGTCTGACATTTTAATGTAATCATATTTATCAATTTTTTCTTCATCTTATTTAAGTGAAATCATCACTTAACATGTAATAAAAGTTAAATTATCACTTATATTTTCTCCCAAAGTTTCACTTCTCTGCTTTTCACACCGAGGTCTTTAAATATGTTCATGTTTCCTTTTACTTATGGTGGGAAGCAGGGCTCCAACGTTCCCTTATATCAGCAACCAATAGTCTCAGTACCATTTCCTTACTGTTCCTCTCCATTTACCTGCATTACCAACTCTGTTACCATATGAAGTAGCAAAAGGGGAGGTTTCTAGCTACACTCCATTCCACCAGACACAGCATTCAAAGAGTAAATTACTCTTTTGATTTAAAAGAATAAGGAGAAACCATAATAATATTAGGTCTTGCTTTTTTTCCACTTTTTTCAGAAACAGATATTTTGGAAGGAAAGAAATACCAAATTGAAGACAGTAGCTACCTTTGTCAGGAGATAAAGAGGAACTGGGGAAGAGTACAAAAGGAGCTTCAGTTCTATTTGTAATGTAGTCCTTAAACTGCACAGAGGGTGAGCAAAGACGACAGTACTTTGTGTGAGTGTGTGTTTTTTATAAGATTTATAACTTACTTAAAAGGCAGAGTTACAGAGAGAGATATTCCACCTGCTGGCTCACTCCCCAAATGGCTACAACAGCCAGGTCTGGGCCATCATCCTCTGTCTTCCCAGGGACATTAGTAGGAAGTTGGATTGGAAGTGGAGACGCCAGGACTCCAACAGGCACTCCAATATGGGATGCTGCTGCCATAAGCAGTGACCTCACCTACTGTACTACAACACAAGCCCCTACATTTATTTTTTTGTAAATAACAACCAAAATGATAAAGAAGCTGACCTGAAAAGTTTAGTCAACATTCAGGGTCAGTACAGATTCTACTTCCATACAGAAGACTCACATGGGGGGTTCTAGAAATCACTGATTACCTCGGCCTCATCTCTGAGACTCTGATTTCATTTAATCTGATAAGCCTACAGTATTTTAAAGTTCCTGGGTGCTTTTTGATGCACAGAGTACTAGAGAAGTACCCAATGTTATACCCCTAAGTGTTCACCTTGTTCTGAGAAATGCACCTCCTCCCAAGAAATGACCACCACTCTCACACTGACATGGAACAGCTCCGCACAACAGTGACTTATCCAGAGTTAGAGTCCTATGGCAGATGACTCAGCTTCTCTTGCCCAAGAAGTTGATCATCCAAAGTAATAAAACAATATATTTCTTTAAGACGTACATATTTCTATCACACCATCACTTACCTAATGTGCATCTGAGCAGGGGCTGAAGTCTACTAAAAATTTCAGCTCTGACTTCATTCAGACAGGTCTCGATCTCTGCAAGTATTTTGGAAGGAAGTTTTTTATAATCTCCACCTAAAACATTATACAGAACATTATCAGTTTCTCATCAATGTGTCTTTCCGCAGAAAACTAAAACACTGTCATGAGAGAAAGTTATCAGTCAGTAACTTCTGCAAATGGAGCCAAAAAGCAAAATACAGAATTTCCTTAATTCTCTCCTCTCTGTGGTCTAACATGTATCCCCACAGTAACTGCTATCAGTGCATCAAAATTAGTTCACACGGCCTAAGCAAAGTTTCAGTTAAAGTCGTTCTCATCCAAATAATCAGAGGCCTAAAACACAGGCTGAGGATCTCTTATCCAAAATGCTTGGGACCATTCATGTTTCATTTCCAGGTTTTACTTTTCTCAAATGTTGGAATATTTGCATGAGATTTCATTTGTTCCTAATACACATAGCCTGAAGGTAGTTTTACATAATATTTTTAGTGTCCCTGTAGTTGACTGGGAACTATCACATGAGGTCAGGTGTGGAACTTTCCACTTGCAGTTATCATGGTGGCAAAAGCTTTTAAATTTTGGAGAATTCAGATTTTAATTTTTAAATTACCAATGCTCAACTTGTAGGAAGTTTTAAGACATATCATTTATATCTAAAGCAGCAGAGTTTTGGTTTCTTTTTGAGAGAGAGAAGGTTGAGGGAGAGAAAAGCAGGCAGGCAGGCAGGCAGGCAGGCAGAACCACCTACTAGTTCAGTATCCAAATGCCTGCAATAGCCCAGGCCGGGCCAGGCTGAATTCAGGAGCCTTGCAACACAATCCAGGTCTCCCATGTGGTGGCAGAAACTAGATGCTGCTTCCCAAGGTGAGTATTAGCAGGAAGCTGAAGTAAGTCAGGAGCCAGAGCTGGGGCTCAACGCCATGCATGCAATATGAGATGGGGGTCTTTTTTCTTTTTTTCTTCACTTGTTTTACTTGAAAGGCGGGGGGTGGGGGGGGGGCAATGGAGGCAGGAGGAGCGGGGAGAGAGAGAGAATATCACTCTTCCATCTGCTGTTTTACTCCCTAAATGCTGAAAACAGCAAGAGTGGGGTCAGATTGAAGCCAGGAGCCTGGACCAAATCCGGGTTTCCCATGTGGGTTACAAGGACTCAAATGTACTTGAGCCACGATCTGCTGCTTTCCTGGAACATTAGCAGGAAGCTGAACTGGAAAGTAGAGTAGCCAGGACTTGAACCAGCACTCTGACACGGGATGTCTGCATGACAAGAGACAGCATACTCTGCTGCACCACAAAACCACCCTCGAGGACCGTCTTAACTGCTAAACCAATGGCTCACCCCAAAACGCAGGTGTCTTAACTGCTAGGCTAAATGCCCATCCCTGAAGTTGTCTACTTCTGTGCAATTATTACTTATGCTAGAAACTACATCGAATTATGTATTCTACTTTGGGGTCTCTTATGAATATTAATAAGTCTAATAGGGGCTGGCGCTGTGGTGCAGTGGGTTAATCCTCCACCTGCAGCACTGGCATCCCATATGGGCACCAGTTCTAGTCCCAATCTAGCTCTCTGCTGTGGCCTGGGAAAGCAGTAGAAGATGGCCCAAGTCCTTCGGCCCTTGCACCTACATGGAAGACCAGGAAGAAGCTCCTGGCTCCTGGTTTCAGTTCAGCACAGTTCTGGCTGTTGTGGCTATTTGGGGAGTGAACCAATGGAAGGAAGACCTTTCTCTCTGTCTCTCCCCCTGTCTGTAACTCTACCTCTCAAATAAATAAATGAAATATTTAAAAAAAAAATAAGTCTAATATGGCCGGTGCCGCAGCTCAATAGGCTAATCCTCTGCCTGCGGTGCTGGCACACTGGGTTCTAGTCCCGGTCGGGGCGCCGGTTCTGTCCCGGTTGCCCCTCTTCCAGTCCAGTTCTCTGCTATGACCCGGGAGTGCAGTGGAGGATGGCCCAAGTGCTTGGGCCCTGCACCCCATGGGAGACCAGGAGGAAGCACCTGGCTCCTGGCTTCGGATCAGCGTGATGCGCTGACTGCAGCGGCCATCGGAAGGTGAACCAACGGAAAAAGGAAGACCTTTCTCTCTTTCTCTCTCTCTGTCACTGTCCACTCTGCCTGTCAAAAAAAAAAAAAAAAAAAAGTCTAATAAAGTTATTATTTCCCAAATTAATAGCGCCCTCCTCCATGTCTTTGTGAGGGGTGTTGAGGGGTTCTCAGCAGCATCACAGTGTTTACACAAGTCATATCCTTTGTTCATTAGAGACTGACAGCTAGCTATTACTGTGACTGACACGTTTCCTCAATCATTCCCAGTTTGCCAGACTTATGTCTTTTTTTTCATTATTGCAAATGCTTTAGTGATAAACACCTGTGAGAATGTACCTGTACAAGTTTCTGATGTCTTCTTTAGAGCAGGAATCTTCAAATGGAATTACAATGACAATAAACTACCAAAGATAATAAAAAAATTTTTTTGAAGAAAAGTTGCCATTGGCATTTAACTCTAGTTACTCTTATGCTACAGATGGATCTTTTCACTCAAATCTCTTACAAATAGTTCATTTATAATTAAATGGGTGGGTGTTCTGACACAGTGATTCAGTCACCATATCCTCTATCAAAGTGCTCAGGGTTGAAGTTCCCCCTCTGCTTCCAATCCAGCTTTTTACTAATACATACCCTGGGAGGCAGCAGGTGATGGCTCAAGTACATGGGTTCCTGTCACCCAACTGGGAGACCTGGACTGAGTTCCAGGCTGCTGGCACCAGCTTGGCCAGCCCTGTGTGTGGGGATTTGGGGAGTAAAGCAGCAGATGGAAGACCTCTGTTTCTCTACCTTTCAAATAAATTAAATAAGTAACTCACACACAGTGTGATCTCCCTCTGCTTACGTGTTTCTCTAGTGAACACAGTATGAAGCATTCATCACAACTTCTGTTATTTAACCAAAGGAAAAAAAAAAGCCTATAATCCAAGTAATACTTCTCAAATACAATTAACAACCAGATTACAAAAGCTACAATTATTCTGTAAAAACTTAAGATTAGATCAAATATAAATTAAAATTAACCCCAATATTCATCTTGCTCTTAAGTAACTCTGACTGACACAGCACTGTGGTTCCTGTAATTTGAGAAAACAGGAATACAAGAAATGGCAAAGGCAAAGATGCTCATGAGAAACTGAATTTTAAATTGCAAAAAATCATGAATGACACAAAATTCAGTGTCAAGAGTAACTCGAATTGAAACAAAATATTCCTAGCCTAACAAAATCCTAACTTTTTAAACGTTTATAGCTAAAGGTGTTAAGAATATTGGGAGACATTTTCTTCTACTTAATAAAAATAGATCTAAATGTTAGTAAACCCTCCTTGAAAACCAATCAGCAATATTCTTTAGAATCATATTTTAATATCCTTCCTAGGTTTTAATCGGCAATGGATTCAAAAGGTATATGAACACTTGTACAATAACAACAATGGTAAGCACCTTGGATGGCCAACTATGGGGAAGTGGCACACAGGAGCCACAGAAAACGCACCAAGGTCACACATTTTGTAACATTAATGAAGAAAACACCTACAATGACAAGTGAAGAAAGCTTCGTCTGATGTCAATTCTGTCTATATATATATATACACATATATAAGCAAAATTAAGATAAAAAAATAACTAAAATACTCGAGAACACAACTGAGCGTGTAGGGTCAGCTGCACATCTATACAGAATGCTGACATGATCCAGGTGGCATGGCAGTAAACTGACAAGAAGAATGGAGTCAGAAAAACTGGCTATGCAAATGGAAAAAAACAGGTCTTTATCTCACATCATACACAAGCAAAACTTTTTGACTTTAGGAACATACATATGCGCATATGTGAATAACTTTCTGACCCTGGGAAAAGAAAAGATCTCTTAAAAATCTACAAATACTGCTAACTCCAAAAAGAAAGCCAAAGACTGTCCTATAAATAAACCAAGACATCTTTTGAAAAGAACACAAGCCACAAACTGGCAGATAATTCAGCAACACTTATCTGACATAAAAACATCAACAAGGACACACAAAATCCCTCATAAATCACTAAGAACATAATACTCCGCAGAACAAACAGGGATAAGATACAAAACAGGCATTTCACAGAACAGATAACATACATGGTCCAAATACACATTAAGTGCTAACCAACCACTTTAAAACCTAGGAAAGACAGATCAAGACCACAGACTATTTTATAACACTTAAATAGAAAATATCTCAAAGTACGAAAGTAACCAATGAGAATATAGGGATCAGGAAGATCTCTTACACAGTGCTAAGGGCAATATACTGTTTGGTACAACCACTTTGGAAAACAGCTGCCATTCTCTTGTAAATCTGGGCTCAGTGTCTACAATTTGGTAATTCCATTCCCATCACATATCCAAAAAGAAACCCATCAGACTTGCTCAAGAATAGTCACAGCAGCAATATTTATAATGGCAAAAAAGAATCTATTGACAAGTGAATAAATACATTACTGTATTTATAAAATGGAAACATTACATGTAATGAAAGTCAATGAACCACACTATAAGCTGCTTCACAGATAAGTCTTTACAAAGAGGAAACAGGGATGAGCTTTTGGCACAGTGGTTAAGACCCTGCTTAGGGTATTTGCATTGCACATCAGACTGCCTGGGTTTCAGTCCCAGCTCTGCATCTGATTCTAGCTTCCTAACGTACACTCCAGGCGGCAGCATGTAAATGCTCAAGCACTCGAGTTCCTGCCACCCACATGGGAGACACAAATTGAATTCCAGAGGCTCCTGGCTTCAGCCCAGCCCAGGCCCAGCTGTTGTGGACAACCAAATCAGCAGTGAATGGAAGCTCTTTCAAATAATTTTTTCTTCTTTAAAAAGGGCCTCAGATGACATCCTGGGCATCCTTTGTTATTGATTAAACAGGACTTGGTTCCCAGACTTGTGAAGACCTTTGAACCCCAAAGTCTTAAGTTAACAGTTAACAGATTAATACTAATAGTGGACAGATTAGCGTGGCGGCTTGATCCAATTATGGTGTCTGAAGGAGGGGTCTTGGGAAGTGACTGGATTGGATTAGGCTGCCAGTGAGTCCCATCGCTGAAATGATGGTGGCTTCATAGACTATGCTCCATATGCCTCTCCACTTCCTGGCTCATTCTGTGATCCTTCCTCCACATACTCTGCTACTGCTGGCCTCCACCAGGTGTCAGACTAATGGGCTGCACAATCTTGGATTCTGAATCCCAAAACTGTAAGCCAAAATCAACTTGCTCGTTCCCAAGAAGCTCAAGAATTTTAATGTAATGAAAAGCTAAATACACCTTTTAACAAAGTTCAAAGCCAACCAAATTAGGCAATATATAGTTGAGCTATACACATGTAAAAAAACTAGAATTATGTATTTCAGGATAATGACCACCTTTGCAGGAAGCTGGGGGATGGGACAGGAGTAACAGGTAAACTGTTCTTAGGTTGGGATGTAGGTTCATGAGTGACCTATTTTATGGAAATAAAGCAAAAATATATCCTTCATTGTAAAAAGAGGCTTTGGAGTGTTGTGAGATTGTGAGTAATTTTTACTTACTTTATTCTGCTCTGCAGTAGTTCTGGTTTTTTTTTTTTTTTTTTTTTTTTTTTTTTTTTTTTTTACAGGCAGAGTGGACAGTGAGAGAGAGAGAGAGAAAGGTCTTCCTTTACTGTTGGTTCACCCTGGAATGGCTGCTGCGACTGGCGCACCATGCTGATCCGAAGCCAGGAGCCAGGTGCTTCCTCCTGGTCTCCCATGCAGGTGCAGGGCCCAAGGAGTTGGGCCATCCTCCACTGCACTCCCAGGCCACAGCAGAAAGCTGGACTGGAAGAGGGGCAACTGGGACAGAATCCGGCACCCCGACCGGGACTAGAACCCGGGGTGCTGGCGCCGCAAGGTGGAGAATTAGCCTTGAGCCGGGCGCCGGCCCAGTAGTTTTTTAAGATTTATTTTTACTATGATTAAAGGTGGAATGAGAGAGTGAGAGAGAGAGAAAGAGAAAGAGAAAGATAGAGAGAGAGAGTCAGCTCTTCCATCCACTAGTTTACTTCTCAAATGGACACAGCAGCCAGGCCCAAGCCAGGAGCCTGGAACTCCATCCAAATCTTCCATGTGGGTAGCAGGGTTGCCTAAGTACTTGGGCCATCTTCTGCTGCTTTCCCAGGTGCATTGCTGTGAGTTGGATGGGAAGAGGAACAGCTGGGACTTGAACCAGCACTCTAATATGGGATGCAGGCATCACAGGTGGTAGCTTAATCCACTGTGCCCTAACGCCAGCACCTTTCAGTAGTTTTAAAACTTAAGACTTTACTTTGATGGACCCAATTGCCATCTAAGTATGTGACAGCAAACCACAGTAATGCCACCATCTCAATCCTCCATTTTGCCTCTCCCTCTGCCCTGAGACACTGACCACCTAGTAGTCCAGCTGGGCAACTCTCTGATGACAAAAGACCTTTAAGTGCTATTAAATCTTTCTGATAAGGTCAGGAAGACCAGCAGGACATCTGAAGCGCTGGGTCCTAAAGCGCATGTAAATGAATTTTATAAAACAAGCTCCTACCCCAACTCCCTAATGAATCTGTAAATTTATAAAATCTTTCTCCTACCTGCAGTCTTGGCCAAAAACATCTTGCTATAAATTCTGACCAAATCACCTGTTCATTCCAATCTGGAATCCTGTATTTAAGTTGCTTGAATAAATCCTTTACTCTTTTTTCACTTGTTTTTAAGGATTTATTTATTTATTTGAAAGTCAGAGTTAAGAGATAAAGAGATCTTCTGTCTGCTGGTTCAATCTCCAAAGGGCCAGAACGGCTGAGGCTGGGCCAGACCAAAGCCAGGAGCTTCTTCCTGGTCTCCTAGGTAGGTGGCAGGGCCCAAGCACTTGGGCCATTTTTCACTGCTTTTCCCAAGCCATTAGCAGACAGCTAGATCTGCAGTGGAGCAAGATGGGACTCGAACAGGCACCCATATGGGATGCTGGAGTCTTACCTATGCTATGCCACAATCCCGGCCCTACCCTTTATTCTCATACAGAGCTCCCACCCTCATTCTTTGGTCTCAATTGTTTCCCAGTTCAAGGAGGCACCTCACAATCAGCTGACCCTCAGATCTAAGACACAATCACAGCCTTTCTTCTCCTTTCTACTGAAAAGACTGTCTTGTCAACGATCAAGATACCACCACTGGTATTATCCTGAACTTCATGACACTACCAGGACTCCTTGCTCTTTTCCATATGCTATGAGGAACTCAACATTAACACCTTCAAAAATTAAACAGAAATAATACACTGGTACCTACCTTTAATTTCATCCAATTGAGTGGCAGACAGAAGCTTATTCGCTTGATTGTATTTTGTAAACAACTGCCAGAAAACAGATTCCTCCTTAGAACACAGTTCAGTCACAGTGTTCTTTAATCCTTCCAAGTGTACCAAAGCTGAAAGAATACAGTCTAGCCAACAGAGAGCATGAGCATTTTTCCACTGAACATAAAAAGTCCGCTGAGACGATGTACACTTGCTTTCCAATGGTATTTCCAGTTCAGATGTGCCTCCTTCATTTTGAGGGGAAGTTTGCCCAACTCCAGAGATGTCAACTGTACTAGGATCGTCTTTAGTAGCCATGTCAACAATACCAGCTTCCAAAACCTTATTCTGCTCCAAGGAATAAGCTGTCCCAATTGGATGCTGTTGAGTACTACCATCAGAACACTTTGATGAGGTTTCATTATATACTTCTCCATTATATTTGCTGTCCAAAATTGGCTCACCATCAATAATATGATGTCTAGTCTTTTTGGAATTTGCTAAAACAGGTGCATCATTATAGCTGGTTTCCAAGAGCTTTCTTTTGTGAGGTTTATTTGGAGTGTGACAATCTTCCGAACCCGGAGAAATTAAGTTATTAAGTGACTTAAAGCCCAAAGGATAGATGCACTAGAAAGAAAAAGTAAAATGATAAGAAACACAAACATTCAAATGAGCTTAAGTTTTACTTGACAATTTCTATGTCATGAAGAATCTGAGCATTAATTTGACATGAGAAAGTATATTTATTAACCCAGATTTGAAGGAACTGGAGACAATTTTTTTTTTTTTTTTTGACAGGCAGAGTGGACAGTGAGAGAGAGAGAGACAGAGAGAAAGGTCTTCCTTTTGCCGTTGGTTCACCCTCCAAAGGCCGCCGAGGCCAGCGCGCTGCGGCCGGCGCACCGCGCTGATCCAATGGCAGGAGCCAGGAGCCAGGTGCTTTTTCCTGGTCTCCCATGGGGTGCAGGGCCCAAGCACTTGGGCCATCCTCCACTGCACTCCCTGGCCACAGCAGAGAGCTGGCCTGGAAGAAGGGCAACCGGGACAGAATCCGGCGCCCCGACTGGGACTAGAACCCGGTGTGCCGGCGCCGCTAGGCGGAGCATTAGCCTAGTGAGCCGCGGCGCTGGCCTGGAGACAATTATTTAATAAAAATTTTGGCACCCTAAGAATTTTTCCTAGATAATCTGAACAACCAACATTGTGATCTGAGTTACACTAGGATAAGCTAAAAAGGAAAATATACATATTTTTTCTTTAATAAAAATATCTGATGTCAAGTAAATTTTAAAATTACAAAAATATAAAGAAACACTATATGAGTGTTACTCTTGGAACAAACACTGTACAGCATCAAACATTTTTTCAAGTATCTTTAAATAAAAAATTGCATGGAGTAATTTCTATACTTCTTAAATTGTGAAACTGAGCATTAATCTGAGAGTACTGCTATTTTACATCCTTATTTTAGTGTTATATTGGCTGAACTTTAAATGATCTCATCAAATCTCTCTACATATTAATGTAACTCATAAAATATAAATAATAAAAAATATAAATAAATCACTAAGATAATGTGTGAATCTTTCCTAAGATTGAAAACTACTAAAATATATTTACAAGGTAAGACACCTATATACTAACTGCCCCCACTTAAAATATGCCTTCCTCCATGCAACTATGAACTACCGTGGTGGCCGCCAATGAATGGAAGAGCCACATGTCCTGGGTAATTCATGCCCTCAGTCAGTCCCTACCACACACGACTAGCTTTCAGGGGACTTCAGCACGCATGCTGCACATGGAGATCTCACAAGCACTGGCTCACTGGGCTTGCCCTCTTGCAGCCCTCCTTCTGGAACTCTCTCAGTATCCACCATCATAACAGGAGGAGCCAAATCAGACTCATGGAATGATCCTCATGGGAAAGAGCTGAGACTCTGGCTGAATGACTTAGCTGAACACCCAGCCAGCCAACACCATCTCCCCACTATACATACATTTCAGATGTCCCAGCCAATATGGTGTGAAACATAAGAACTGCCTGTCAACTCACAAATTCATGGGAAATAATAAATGAAGCCATTATATTCTTTCAGCAACTGTTTTGAAATGATTTGTTTCACAGCAACACATAACTGAAATGCACCAAATGCTACACAGCGACTTCTACACAACTGAATATATACTTATAGTATCGTACTTCTGATAAAATTCCCTAGTATAAATGGACAAATTCTGGATTCTTCTGTTACCAACCACCTGCAGAGTCACTATCAGCAACCCGTCAACTATATACCTTGAGATTATTTCCTAAATCCTACCATATGTCAGAAAGCTGAGAACACTTTATAAAATCAAGTCAGTAACTAAGAATTCAGAGTCATAAAAAGGTATATATATATCCACCCCAAAATAGGAGCAGGATCACAAAGAAATTTCTGCACGTCAATGCTTGTTACAGCATTATTCAAAATAGCCAAGAGGTAGAAGCAACACAAATTTCTGCTAACAGATCAATGGATAAAGAAAATGAAGTATGCATCACATACAATGGAGCAATATTCAGCCTTAAAAAGAAAAAAAAAATCCGGCCGGCGCCGTGGCTCACTAGGCTAATCTTCCACCTTGCAGCGCCGGCACACTGGGTTCTAGTCCCAGTCACGGTGCCGGATTCTGTCCCAGTTGCCCCTCTTCCAGGCCAGCTTTCTGCTGTGGCCAGGGAGTGCAGTGGAGGATGGCCCAAGTGCTTGGGCCCTGCACCCCATGGGAGACCAGGAGAAGCACCTGGCTCCTGGCTTCCGATCAGCGCAATGCGCCAGCCGCAGCATGCCGGCCGCGGCGGCCATTGGAGGGTGAACCAACGGCAAAGGAAGACCTTTCTCTCTGTCTCTCTCTCTCCCTGTCCACTCTGCCTGTCAAAAAAAAAAAAAAAAAAAAAATCCTGTTACATGCTACAACATGGACAAACCTTGATGACAGTATGCTCAGTCAAATATTTTGGCCACAAGAGACAAAAGCTATATGATTCCAATTCTATGAGGAACTTAGAGCAGTTAATTCACAGAAACAAAAAGCAGAAGTGTGGTTGTAAAGGGCTAGGAGGAGCAGGGAATGGAAAGCTGCTGTTTTGGGGTAATTTCAGTTTTGCAAGATGAAAAAGTTTTTAAAATCTGCAGCACACCATGTGAATACATCTAACACCCCTCAAATGTACACTTAAACATGGCCAAGATGACAAATTTTGTTAAGAATTTTTAACCACAATTTTAAAAAATGTTTTATCATTTTTTAAATTTTTTTAAAGAACCTCCTCAAAACCCCAACCTTTCACTAATATCAAGTCATCAAGATCTTGGTGTACATCATCCTAGCTGCACCTATTGTTAATTAAAAACAAGATTAATGAACAAAAAGGGACCCAAAGGCCGCAAAAACTCAGTGGTCTACATGGTTCCCTCCCCTCCTCCATAACTGTCTCCTCCGTGTAATCTGTGCTCCCATCAAAAGTAACCTAAATTCTCACTTGTTCCTGCCCTGAGAGTTCCACTTTATTAAATCTTTCAGATTATCTCTTAATAGCCGTCTTTGGTTTCTACTTACAGTGAACATGTATCATTTTAGTAAAATTAAAACAGTGCTTTTAAGCTGTCTGCAAGAAGCCATTAAAAGATACAAAGAGCAGGACTTAAAACCTGCATAACCATCTAATATTTAAAATCTAATGCTAAAATAACAACACCAAAAAAAAAAACCTAACACTGTCTCTTTCACTGATTTTTGTAGCAATTTAAATAAATTCTTGTTTTTAGTCCTGTAAAATAGGAAAAATGAAAACATCCCATGCCATCTTATATTTAGATAAGTGGTTACCTGGAAGATCTTACCAGAGACAAATTATAAGCATATACTCTTGATACAAATGAAAAAGAAAACAAAACACACAAAGGTTTACTTTGCTGATTTAACACTAATGATTTAAAAACCTGTTGTAAATTTCATTTTTAATTAAAAAAAAAAGATTAATGAAATACTCCAAAATAAACACTGAATAATGGACTACTCCAAAAAGGATGAGCTAAAACTTTCTACTGTTGGAAAAACATTGGACGGTTTCAATTCGGTATTAATTTGAACCACAGTTTTGAATGTTTGTGTTTAGTTTTTCAAAATCAGGAAATATTTTCAAAGCAACATCTGATTAAAAGGTATTTCCTACATGGTTCTTTCCAATTTATAGCAACTGGACTGCAAAATGTTCAGTAGACTTCAAATTTCATAACAGAACTCTTCAGAAATCAATCACAGCACACTATACTGATAGGAGGCCAGAAAATAAATATTTAGGCTTTGTGAGCCATACAGTCTCTGTCACAACTATTCAACTCCACTGGTGTGATACAATATGTACCACAATATGTAAATGATTGAGCATGGTTGTCTTCCAATAAAGCTTTATTTATGGATACTGAAATCTGAGTTTCATATAATTTTCATATGTTATAGGAGACCATTTTTTTTTTTACTTTTGTTCAACTGTTTAAAAACTATCTCCTGGGGACAGTGGCTTCTCTGTTTTTATAATCCATAATTAAAGAATTCTACTGAATATTATGTATTGTTCAAAAGGAGGACAAAAATTCTTTCTCTAGGATCTAGTATTATTTCTCTTTCCATTGTTCAAAATCCTTTAACTTTATTTTTAGTTAAGTAGTAAACTCTGTTCATAACTGCTATCACAGATGAGCTATTGAGGCTCCTAACTTCAACCCCTTCCCTTGTAAAACAAAGTCTGACCCCTGCCACTTTAAAAAGGTGGGGCTGGCATTGTGGAGCAGTGGGTTAAGCTACAGTGCTGGCACCCCATATGGTCATTGGTTCAAGTCCCGGCTGGGCCGATCCACTTCCGATCCAGCTCTCTGCTAATGGCCTGTGAAAGCAGCAGAAGATAGCTCAAGTGCTTGGGCCCCTGTACCTGCGCAGGAGACCTGAAAGAAGCTCCTGGCTCTCAGCTTTGGCCTGGTCCAGCCCCAGCTATTGTGGCCATTTGGTAAGCGAACCAGTGGGCGGAAGATCGATGTGTCTCTCCCCTCTCTCTTTCAAATAAGTAAGTATATCTTTAAAAATAAAGCTTTCTCCTTTTATCTGTACATCTCAAATGTCACTTCCCATTCACTCCAGTCAGGCTTTCATCATACTAGTATACCGAAACTATCTTCATCAAGGTCTCTGATGACACTCACAACACTCTGGGTAAGGTCAGTTTAGTATTTTTTTTTTAAGATGTATTTTATTTATTTGAAAGACAGAGATACAGAGAGAGAGAGGTAGAGACAGAAAGAGAGAGGTCTTCCATCCACTGGTTCACTCCCCAGATGGCCACAACAGCTGGAGCTGTGCTGATCCAAAGCCAGGAGCCAGGAGCTACTTCCAGGTCTCCCACGCGGGTGCAGGGGCCTAAGGACTTGGGCCATCTTCTACTGCTTTCCCAGGCCATAGCAGAGAGCTGGATCAGAAGAGGAGCAGCCGGGACTAGAACTGGCACCCATCTGGGATGTCGGTGCTTCAGGCCAGGGCTTTAATCCGCTGCGCCACAGCGCCGGCCCAGTCAGTTTAGCCTTAACCTTCCTTGCACTCTTAGCTGCATTTGACAGTAGACAACACCTTCCTTCCTTCCTTTTTTTCACTTAACTTTCAGAACCATGTACTGTCCTCCTTCCCGATTTTACCTCTAGCTCACTGTCCATGTCCTCTCAAGACTCTTCTGTGGTTGCACTCCATCTCTCCCATCTCTTAACACTAGACTGGTTCAGGGCTCAGTGCTTTGTCCTCTGTACCATCCTACATTAACTCACCTATTCTTGTGGTTCAATATGCTTATGACTACCAAATTTTTATTCCCAATGTCAATCTCTACATCTACTGGAATGCCCACAGATCCAACTCCTTATTCCACAGATCCACAGATGTCAGAAGTCTAAAGTTTGACTGTCCTGACCTGAGCTTTGCCCTAAATCTCACTCCCCTCAAAATCTTTCTCAAAAGTTCAGTATTTGGCAACTGTAGTCTTCCAACTGTTTGGGTCAACATCTTGGAATCATCCTTGATTCTTTTGCCCCAACCTTTATGCCAGTCTTTCAGCAAATCCTACCGGCTTTACTTTCAAAGTCAACCCTCTTTATCCACAGGTTCTGTATTCACAGGTTCTACATCTGAAGATTCACCCAAACACCTTGCACTATGTGTGAGGACTATGATAGTTGCATCTGTACTGAAACATGTAGCCTTTTTTCTTCTATCATCATTCCAGAAATACTACAGTATAAACCACTATTTACGTAGCATTACATTGCATTAGGTATTATAAAAACTCAAGAGATGACTGAAATATATGGAAAGATATACACATGTTCTATGCAAACACTACACCATTTGATAGAAATGACTTGAGCAATTCTTATAAAAAATAAGGGCTGTTGTGACACCAATTCCCCACAGATTCCAAGGGACAACTGCATAAACAGAATCCAACAATAGCTTGTCACCTCAGCTACTACCACCTTCCTTCACCATTCCAGAAATACTACAGTATAACCACTATTTACACAGTGTTTACATTGCATTAGGTACTACAAATACTCAGGAGATGACTTAAATATATGGAAGGATATACACAGGTTCTATGCAAATTATTCCTAGCTTTCACCCCCAGACGCTGATCCCAGTACAGTTGGTGGCCCAGAATGAGCAGTTTGGAAAACAAATCACACAGGTGGTAGTAGACAGTTTTACCAGGTATAATTTGAAAAAAAAAAAAATAATTCTAGACATTTTTAAGTATAAAACAAAATTTTTAAAATAGAATTCATTTTTTGAAAGGCAGGGTGACAGAGACAGAGAGACCTTCCATCTGCTGTTCACTCCCCAGAAGGCCACAACAGCCAGGTGTGGGCCAGGCAGAAGCCAGAACTCCATCTGGGTCTCCTTCATGGGTGACGGGGCCCAAGTACTTGGGATATCCTCTGCTGCCTTCCCAGGCACCTTAGTGGGAAGCAGGACTGGAAGTGGAGCGGCTGGCACTGATATGGGATTACCAGCTGGACCCAACGTGCCACAAGGCCAGCCCCACAAACAGTGAGCAAAATTTAAACAAGGAAGGGAAAAAAGCAAAAGACCAAAACTTACACACTATGTAAGATTATTAATACTTTACCTGCAAATCCTCACACAAAAAGATTGATTCTTGAAAACTAATTCGATAAGTCTTTAAGGCTTTTAACTTTCCCTTCTCTCTACAAGCAGGGCAATAACCATCTGATGGAACTTTTGATGGATCATAATTCTAAAAGAGAAATAAAGCAAATTAAAATATAGACATTCATTTATTAGAACAAACTATTAAAAGTTAAATGGAAAAGTAACCAGAAAAAATAAACAATTTTCAACTAGAAATGTCCTGGCAAGATATTATAAAAGAAATGCACTTAAAGTTTTAAATACTGCTATTATTCCAAAAAGAATATACTACAGTTTAAATTTTTAGTGTAACAGATACCATCGATTTTATTTCCAAGAAAAAAGGTCCAATCAATTGCCAGGAAAAATTTATGTTCCAAATTTTCAAATAGTAATCCATAAAGTGCATGCTTTTATTTCTACTTTTGTATATTACAAAAACAGAGAGGTAAACACAGTAAAACAATCTTTCGCCATTGCTGTAAGATTTCCGTGGAAGACACAATTTTTTAAAAGTTAATTGGTAAAATGAAAACTGAATTTAATATCAAAAATAGAAGGGGGGAAAAACAACTTTGCACCGAGGCAAAAAATAAGTTCACTAACTTTTCCCAAATACCCCACCATGTGGAGTGAAGATATCCCTATATCAGTCCCTGGTCCAATCACTGGCAAACCATTTCCAATCTTCGGAGAATCCATCATTCCGAGTCATTGGCTAATTTATGTCACTTGAGACATGTCAATACCACTAAGGATTTTTCAATGATCCCTGGAAAAAAAAAAGTCAATAGACAATTAAATAAAAATCCCATGTACTCTAAACAAAGAGCTATTTTATAAGATGCATACAAATACATATGAAATACAGTTTGAGAGCCCTTTGTCCTAAGACAAACATTCTACAGCTATGATCCTGAAAACAAAAATGCCTATATTAACTAATAAACTTAGCAAATTGGTGGGGAGAGCAAAGACTGTAAGGAACATCCTCATGGCAGGCATTTTCATAGCAGACTCATTTTTGAAATTAAAACCTGTAGTAGAAGCAGTCACTATTTAAAGAAAACTGTATTTGCCAGGGTTTGAAAATCTAGGTTTTTAAGAGCTTATCCACAATTTGAAAGAAATATGCCAACATTATACTGAGAAAGTACTTTAAAAACCCAGATTTTATGCTGTTACTTGATAAGGATAAAAGAACCAAGGAGGGGCCGGCGCCGTGGCTCACTTGGTTAATCCTCCACCTGCGGCGCCAGCATCCCATATGGGCACCAGGTTCTAGTCCCAGCTGCTCCTCTTACAGTCTAGCTCTCTGCTGTGGCCCAGGAAGGCAGTGGAGGATGGCCCAAGTGCTTGGGCCCTGCACCCCATGGGAGACCAGGAGGAAGCACCTGGCTCCTGGCTTCGGATCGGTGTAGCTCCGGCCGTGGCAGCCATTTGGAGGGTTGAACCAACGGAAAGAGGACCTTTCTCTCTGGCTCGCTCTCTCTCACTGTCTAACTCTGTCAAATAAATTTAAAAAAGAACCAAGGAAACACATCTACATTTCTATTATTTTCAACCAACAAGAATACTTGGCCAGCTGTGAATGCTACTTTTTAAAAGTTGTCAGTGAGATCCTATTCTGTATTATTTGTAAATGATCTGTACCAAAACAAAAATATAAATCTGCCCTAGCACAAGTCACACACATGACAAGCTTTCTCTGAGTGTAACCCTGGGAATTAGTGCCACTGGGAAAAGTCAAACTATAAGAGTGAAGCTCAGCCCAAGACAAAAAGTAATTAAAAGCAGTTTAAACACAGAGTTAAAACACAGCACAGCCAGATGCAGGAAACCTGTAAGCCAAGGTGAATTACCTCTAGCAGAAATGTTGTGAAGTAATTTCAAGCCAGGTGTTTTCCAAACCCAAGCATCTATGATTCTATTCCCATTTCCTGGTAATCAGTGGGTCACAAACTGCACACATCTCTCATGCCAAGGAATAATTTCAAAAATACAAAATGCGTTTTAAAAGTGCCCATGAACCTCCATTTCCTATTCCTAGAGAAGCAGCCATAAGGCAGACATAGTGGACTGCAGACATACTGGACTCGGCCGTTCTTTGTTGCCAGGGCTTCCTGTGCATGGGGGATGTTTAGCAGCATCACTGACCTTTACACACTAATGTGACAGCCAAAACGTCACCAGACACTGCCAAGTGTCTCCTGGGAGACAAAATCCCCCTGTCCAGAACCTCTGATGCTAACTTTTCTTTTTAGGTTCCTCACAGACACCACCAACATACTACCTCTAGCAGTTTCTACTTATAATCTATTAACAAAAGAGAACCATGGAGGAAAGAGTCAAATTTCTAGAGTTCCACAAAGTTAAAAGCATGGGCTTTGCGCCTTCAGAGATAAATCCAGAAGTCTATCTGTAAAATTGGGTATTGGAGGAATTAGGAGATAACGCATGTAAAATGCTTAGCATCCAACACATATTACATTACAGCTGCTATTTGGTGCTAGGTTTGCTTTTCGCGTTACAAAGAAAATACGCAGCACACCTTATCATTCTACAGCACGCTCAACAGAAAACTTGTGAGGCTATCCACCTTGAATAAAGTGATTCTGATAAAGCTTTCCTTTTGCACGAGGAATCTAGGAAACTGTCAGAAGGGCCTCTCTCTCTAACAGCAAAACGTAAGGAGCCTTCCAATCTGCTCCTCTGATTCCATCACCAAACGTTTCAATGGGATAAGTAAGCTGGTGCTGGAATTCCTGAATACAAAGAATCCCTCTCGCCCTGGAAAGCCCATTTTAAAAAACACCAGATAGGACTCTCCAGGTCTTCTTTCAAACGTATTTTTCTCTTTGATACAAATCCTGGGTGCATGCTGCAACTTCATCTGTCCCTGAATAACCGCCTCCATCAAATTCCCTTCAAAATCAACCTGCTCCTCCCCGCTGCATCGCCCCTACATTTTGGCCTCTCCAGCCTTCCAAACACAGAGTAGAAGGTTTGAGCTGTTCTCTTACTTCCCTCCTCTTCTCGCACTAAGTCAACAAATCCTGTGGACAGTTCTTTGGAAGTAACTCAGATGCCCACCTCTTTTTCCATTCCAGCTCCAACCTTTATCGCTGTCAAGACGGTCCTTCTGTAAAATAAGCCTTCACTACTCAACTTCAAGTACCCTGCTTACTCCTGCCTTGGCTATTCAGTCTGTCCAAACAGCTCAATGTGACCTAGAGGTAGGACTATGACCTGAAAGCTCACTGCACTGAGAGATCAGCCCAGATTTCCAGTCTTACCTTTTTCTACCCCCACTTACTCCTCAGCATCGTTCTAACGCCGCCTCTGCACACTTCTGGGGGAGTCGCTGAAGCCCTACTGTCAACTACTAACCCAGGATGGCCCACGTTACAGCACAGTAAGTTGGCCCTGGGACAGGTGGGCAACCAAACTTAATTCGCAGCCCGGTGTGCAAAATGGGGACAAGCTAGAGAAACGGCTGTTGGAAGAGGTGAGGGCCTTTTATCCACTTGAGTTTATCCCACGAGACCCCCGGGGCTCACACGTGAACTGTCAAAAGGAGAGACCACAGGAGACGAACGCAGGTGGCTGTCAGCGCCGCCTGGTCCCCCAACGCAGCGGTCCTCAGAGACAGACGGGACCAATGCAGGTGAGTTTCAAAACTCAACCTTGGAAACCCCAGGAGACGCACAGGGTTTCCTTCAACCCTGACCATCTTCGCGCTCCCTAGGGCACGGAAACAAACTCTGGTTTCTCTTCGGTGTTTACCTCTCTCAGCCCAAACGGATGCGGAACTCCAACTCCCCCACCTTAACCAGGATCTCAACCATTCCCACCGCACCGCGTCCCAGCCCAGGCTTTCAGCGGGCCGGCCAGCCCACGATCACCCCAGCCATGTCCCTTTCTCCAGTTTGTAGAGAAGGAAGCTCCTGCTGCTGCTCCCTTACCTGTCCCGGGCACGCCCCGTCTCCGTACCAGGTCGATCCGAACTCCTGGTCCAGCCTTGAGCTTCCCACCACCGGGATGCAACGTCCAACCCACGTTCCGCTCGGACCGCTACTCCCCCAACAGCGTCTCCGCTAGAAAAGAGCTTCCGGTTTGAGTCCGCCGCAAAAGAGTTCCCCCCTTCCTGCGGCGCGCGGGGCCTGAAAGCACGTAGGCGTGGCGGGGAAGGAAAGGAAGGGAGCACTTCCGGCCGGCCTCTCCCCACGCCCCAAGCGGGGCGGTCCGCTGTGTTGACTGCCAAGGCCGCAGCTTCCGCGGCGGCCGGCGAGCAGGGGAGGGGCCGGGAGCTGCAGAGCCCGCCCCGTGTGAGGAGGCTGGGTTTGGTGGGGAGGGAGGCGACGTTTCTGGAAGCTGCTGGAAAACGCTCGAGTGGCGGAGGTGACGCCGGCGGCCAGGGGGTGGGGCGTGATTAAAACTAGTGCGCGGCCGGCTGCGGAGGGATTACGCCGAGGAGAGATCGCGGCGAGCGTTTCGTTGCGCGCGGGGTCGGGAACCCGCTGGTCCTGGGTGACCCCCGGGCGGGGTGGGCTGGGGTCGGGAAGGCGGCGCGCGCGAGCCGGCGCGGGCCGCCATGGAGCCCGCGGGCCTCCACAGCCGGCACGCGCCCGGCGCCCCTAGTCCGGCGGCCCCAGCCTCGGGGAGCGCCGGGCCGCCTGGGAGTGCCGTGCACAAAGGGTCACCACACACGGAGCCGCCCCTCCCCGTCTCCCCTAATCCCCACCTTCGAAGCCAGGGGCTTGGCTGCCAGGAGTCTGGGGTGTCTCTCTCCTCCTTTCCTCCCTCCCAGATCTTCTAACGGTAAGGGGAGTAGCTAAAGCACAGGGACTGCGCCCTCCGTGCCCCGGTTCGGAGCTCCGGGCTGCGGGCTGCGGGACGCCTGTCAGCCGCCCCTGCCCGGCGTGAACTTCCCGGAACCGGGGGATTTCTCCCTTAGCTCTGCTTTCGTAGGAAGGTCATGTGGTTGAAGGGACGTCGTGACCGCGGATGCTATTTCTAAATCTCGGGGGCAGTCTCTTCCAGAAGTCCTTTCGCTCGGCTGCTTCTGTGTCCTGCCTCCCGTAAGAAGCTGTGGTTTCTGTACAGAGTAACCCCACGGTTCGCATTTTGCACTGTGGGGTGTTTTTTTTTTTTTTTTTTTTGTGGTTTTTCTTTTTGATCGTCTCAAACTAGATGCTTTTTTTTTCCCCGAAATAATTCCGGTGATTTTGATAGGGTGCTTATATAGGCGTCGAGACCCGCGTACGAAGACGTTCCTGAGTAAAAAGATGGTTAAGTGGTTATGTTCTGCTACCGGAATGTGAATCAAGAAATCCACCAGGGATTTTGTTGGTTTTTTTTCCCCTCCAGGCAAAAATGGGCTGGTTAGTTTTTATCTTTTTTTTTGTAGTTGTGTTCTTAATGCCCTGGTGTGTTTGTTGTGAGACCTCACCAGTTAAGAGTCTCCTTTTTTTATGCTTTAACGGTGGAAATTTGAGAGAGCGTTATTTCCTCCTGAATACTAGCCAAAACTAAGAGGGTTTTTTTTTTCTTGCTCATCATTGTTATCTCCATATTTAGAGTGGAATACACTATTATTTTTGTAATGCTTGATAACTGTTAACTCGTAAATTGAACAAAACAGTTCAGTTAAAACGTAGCTAAAAGTGTAAGATTGCAGAGCGTCACTGAACTAAAGCATATCAGAAATCAAACGTTGGCATCGACGAAGTTGATTTAGTCTGTTAGTGCAAATTTGATTTTGTTTTTTTTTTGCCTGGAAAAAAACTCTGTAATAGTGATGGGGGTAAAAGGTGGAGGTGGAGCTTAGGGGTGTGGAGATACGGGAAGGGATTTAGTGTGTGCTGTGTTTTGGCTTCAGAGCATTTTCCCGCTTGTCAACCGTAGGAAGTCTGATCTAGGAGATCAGAAGAGATTTACTGTCAAACTCTGTTTGTTTATCTTGTAGGGTAAGCCCAATTGCTTATTCCACACCAGTGTATGTGGAATGCTTCTCTCATGTGCGGTCCTCCCGAGGAGAGTACACTCACCTTCCTGTGGGGTTGTTGCCTCCAATATGGGACACATTTTATTTACCTACTTCTATTGATAAGCCCACATGATTCAATCATAGAAAGCTTTTTAAAGGGTGACTAGTGTATGGCTACAGTATGCAATATTGTACACTTAGGGTTTTTATTTCCTTTTTTTCTTTTCTCAAAATGTCAGCCTTTGCACCTGTGGAGCCCTTAACTGCTACACAAGTCTTCTGCCTAAAGCCAGAAAGTAAAAAATTCCTGCTATGATTGTGTGTTCTGGTCTCGTCAAAAAATAAATAAATAAAAAGAGTTGAAGTGACTAACCCTGCTTTCCAGCAACAGAACGGGCTTTGGTCCCTTGTCTAAATCTATCAACCAGAAAGTTCTGAAAACCAAAACCTCTTGAAGTGAAGTGTTGCGACAAAAATATGACCAGACCTCATGAGAAGTCTGTATTTTGGATGTTTTGCAGAGCCAGTATTAATAAGTTTAATTATGGGGTGCCGCTCTTGGCCACTGGTATGTGGAGTGTTATGTAACGGTTTATGTATCTTATAAATTTTTTAATTCCAGTAAGTTCTTCCAAAATGTATATAATGCTTAGATTTTAGTTAAGGAATTGTGAACTTCGGTAGAATAATTTTGGCAGTACACGTGTACTTAAAAAACTAAGTAACTTAAGACATTTTAGTTTTTGCCCTCAGTAAATCCACTTGAGTTAACATAGAAAAAATAACTTCATACTGTATAAGTGCAGTAATGCAGATAGCTACAGCCTATTTGTAAGTATAGACATTTATCATCAAATAAGAAATTGTCACAGGATATGAGTTATTTTATACTTTCAACTCTAAAATGTAGATAGAACAGACAACTCATAATGCAACAAACTTACTTGGAATGAGAAGACAATATAATCAAAAAGAGTTCTGCTGTAGATATCAGACTTACCTGATTTTTTTTTTTAATTTTTTTATTTTTTTGACAGGCAGAGTGGACAGTGAGAGAGAGAGAGACAGAGAGAAAGGTCTTCATTTACCGTTGGTTCACCCTCCAATGGCCGCAGCGGCCGGTGCACCGCGCTGATCCGATGGCAGGAGCCAGGTACTTATCCTGGTCTCCCATGGGGTGCAGGGCCCAAGCACTTGGGCCATTCTCCACTGCACTCCCTGGCCACAGCAGAGAGCTGGCCTGCAAGAGAGGCAACCGGGACAGAATCTGGCGCCCCGACCGGGACTAGAACCCCGTGTGCCGGCACCGCAAGGCGGAGGATTAGCCTAGTGAGCCGCAGCACCGGCTGAGACTTACCTGATTTCTAATCTCCTCTGCTATTATGACCTTGTACAAGTTGCCCAGTTTTCAAGGCCTTGAGTTCCAGATGTACAAAGTGGGAAGTCTGGGATAGATGAATTTCCTAAGAGAGGTCTCCTGTAGTCCCAGCATTCTACCTGCAGCTAGTTAGTCTCAGAACTGTCACTTTTTAAAAATGTTTCTCACCAGAGTGGGCATTCGGCACAGCAGTTAACACACTGCTTGGAGTGTGCGCATCGCATATCTTGAGGGCCTAGATTCAAGTCCCAGTTGCACATGTGATTCTAGCGTCCTGCTAGTGTGCACCTTGGGAAGGAGTAGGTGATGGCTCAAGAGTGTGTGTGTGTGTATGTGGAGTGGTACTGGGGAGGGAGTATCTCTGCTTTCCACCCACATGGGAGGTCCACATTGAGTTATGGGATCCTGGCTTCAACCTGGCCCAGCCCTGTCACAGACATTTGGGGAGTGAACCAGGAGGTGGAACGTCTCTGTGTCTGTCTCTATTTCTCTGTCTTTCAAATAAGTAGATAAATTTTAAAAATGCTTACCAAGGACATGATCCCGTTTATTTCAAATCTCGTTTATCTTTCTGATGTAAATTTGTCATCTTGTTTTGGACTAGATAATACATAGTATATTAATATTGATATATTAATCATATTAATATATAATACTTTATTAATATATTAATATATAACAGTACATTATATATGTGGCATAAAAAGCCTACCTTCCACATCTGTCCCTCAGCCACCTATTTCCCTACCTAGGGAGCAACCAAGGCTGTTTCTTGTGTATTTTTCCAAAAAAAATTTTATGAATATACAAGTAAATAGGCACTACACGGTACATGTTTTCACTTGTTTACATAAATAGTACATGATATACAAGCATTTTACATACATTATTGTTCACTTAGAAGTTCTGTATTATATAAGGTGTTTCATTCTTTTTGTGATTACATAGTATTATATAATGCATCATTTCATCAGTCTTCTCCTTTAGAACATTGTTTTAAAGATCTTAAAAGCAAGTAGGCTAGTAGGCTGGTGCCTTGGCTTTCTTGGCTAATTCTCTGCCTGTGGTGCCGGCACCCCAGCTTCTAGTCCCAGTTGGGGCGCCAGGTACTCGTCCCGGTTGTCCTCTTCCAGTCCAGCTCTCTGCTGTGGCCCAGGAGGGCAGTGGAGGATGGCCCAAGTGCTTGGGTCCCTGCACCCATATGGGAGGCCGGGAGGCAGTACCCGGCTCCTGGCTTCAGATTGGCGCAGTGCCGGCCATAGCGGCCATTAGGGGAGTGAACCAATGGAAAGGAAGACCTCTCTGTCTCTCTCACTGTCTATAACTCTCTCTCTTTCTCTCACTGTCTGCCTGGCAAAAAAAAAAAAAAAAAAAAGCACAATGAATAACTTAATATATTCATCACTTTCCACATATGTGAATATATCCACATCCTAAATAGTGGGGGTCCATCTGCTTTGATGTGTGTGTTCCCTCTACCACTATAAATCTCATTTAGTGGAATAGTGATGCTACAGCAATGTGCTGGGAGGCAGCAAGCCTTGGCTCAAGTACTTGAGTCCCTGTCCACCATGTGGTAGACTCAAATGGAGCTACTGGCTGATGCTGTCATTTGGGGAGTTAACTGATACATGTCTCTCAACCTCCCTCTCTCCTTTTCTGTCTCTGTCACTCTGCCTTTCAAATCTTAAAATAAAAAAAAAAAAAATTCAGTATATGAGATGAATCACCTGAATAGCTAGTTCTTTATTTGAGCCCTAGACAAAGCAGGTAGTTTGTGTTTAGGGTCTTTCTCCTAAACAAATAAGTTTATAAATCTTTAAACACTTAAATTTTGCAGCCAAGCAAATGTTACAGTGAGAGGTCTGTGGGAACTAAGACCTACTGATGTTACAACAGTTATTGTTCATTCCAGGCCGCATGCTCATTGATTGCTACTTAAACTAGTGCTTTTGTTTAGAAGTTTTTGCCATGCATATATAGCTAAATTTGTGTATGATACAATTTCCCATGTATTCTCACTTAGCAGCTAGAAAACTAAGCTTGGGCAGTTTAGCCTGGTTGTTAAAGACATCTGCATCCTCCATCAGAGTACCTGGGTTCGATACCTGGCCCTGGCTCCTAACTCCAGCTTCCTGGTGATGCAGACCCTGGGAAGCAGTGATGATGGCTCAAGTAATTGGGTTCCTGCCATCTGCATGGGATACCTGGGTTAAATTCCAAGGCCAGCGCTATAGCACAGCAGGTTTACGCCTTGGCCTGAAGTGCCGGCATCCCATATGGGCACCAGTTTGAGGCCTGGCAGCTCCACTTCTAATCCAGCCCTCTGCTGTCACCTGGGAAAGCAGTATAAGATGGCCCAAGCACTAGGGTTTCTGCACCCACATGGGAGACCCAGAGGAAGCGCCTGGCTCCTGGCTTCAGATTGGCGCAGCTCCAGCCATTGTGGTCAATTGGGGAGTGAACCATTGAATGGAAGACTTCTCTCTCTGCCTCGCTTCTCTCTGTGTAACTCTGACTTTCAAATAAATAAGTAAATCTTGAAAAAAAAAAAAAAATTCCTGACTCC